AAACATATTGAACCAGCATGTAAACTGATACAGAACGAGTCCAAGAGATATAACAACACATACCACGATGACCAGACAGTGTGTGGACAAATGCCCCTGAAGCAATATCACAAAGACGAACTTGGACATCCTCAGTTCCAGCAGCAATAAGCATGTGAGATGTTGCCAATGAAGACATTGCAGTCCTATAAACCTTTCCAGGCATCTTGAAATTCATTACCACCTACAGAATTTTGCAAATAAACCATAGAAAAGGAAAATAAATTCATATTATTAACGGTAAAATCAAGACTTAAGAAAATAGATAATAAAGGAAGATCAAGATTCAAGATGGATAGTCACCTGGGTGGTATTTGTGTCCCAAACGTTAACATGATGATCATATGAACCTGTAATGAATAGGCCGGTGTCAATTGGATACCAAATAGCCGAGGATATGGCATATTTGTGCCCAAGACTGTGTTGCTTGTCAATTGCAAATATGCACTTGTGTTTAGCTATCAAACCTCCTGCTTCATAATCCGTGGCCCGTTGAACATCATATATGGCTAGAGAAGCATCGGATGCAGCAGATAACAAATATCTTCCCTCTGTCAAATCAATCTGATTTCGAGGTCAGAAAGATTGGATTTTGGATTTCCATTAGAATGCCATAATTAGACATTAGCAACATGGTAGAACATGACGCTGAACAGGCACATGTAAAAAAACGCTTCTTTTGCAAGAATCAAGGGCCCCGCAGTAAAATATGAGAATGATTTCATTGTATAGATAAGTAAAATCCAAAGCGGTTTCTTACAGTTTCGTCTTCCTCTTTCAACCATACAAACAGGCATGGTGAAAGTCTAAATAGGATGTAAAATATCACATTTTTAATGCGCAAACAGACTTCCGTTTCAGCACCACCTTGCTATAACCCAAAGTACAATTTAAGGAAGACAAGTCCAATAAACTAATGATTATCTGAAAAATAATTTGGATGTGCGAATAACGAACTAATCGCAAGGGTGAAAAGGAGCAGGAAGAAGCTGATGATTTGAAAAGAATGAATAAAAACAAGCGTGGAGCACCTGAAGCGAGTTTACGGCGGCGCCTTTATGAGGAGAAACAATATCTTTGTAATTGGAAATTTGGAGCTGCGCAATGCGATTGGACTTAAAGCGATGAGCGAACGATTCTGGGCGGATTTTCCCCTCTTCTCTCTGTCTCTGATCTGCTTCCACATATTCGAAGCATCTTCGAATAGACCCGCACTGCCCCTCCTTCACAACTTCTCTCTCGCTCCAATACATGCACGTTTCTGATTGAACTGCAGGGACAAACTCAACTCAGACCCTCCTCTACAAAGCTTGCTGCTCCTGCCTCCAGTTTCGATTTCCCCCTTCTTCCGTACGCGCCACTGTTGTATTGTCGGAACAACAAATGGACTCCATCGTAATTGGGCCAGCGGTATTCTTACTGCTCAAGACAGATCAACGGCCCAATACTTTCCTCGAATGTAGGGCCGATTCGACTTTGTAAGCTGACTATCACGACAGCCCAAGGACCATGACATTCAGTTTTCAAAAGTCCAATATGCCTTGAGCCTGTTCAATTCAACTCTCCGAATCAAAAGTAGGCTTCTAAACAACGCTGGACCATTTAAAAAGGTGTAATCAGGAAATTAATGCTAATTAATCTTCTATTTAGCCGGTTTCTCCTTTTTCTAATTCTTTCATAAAATTTATTCGGAATTTGATTCCTTTTTCAACTAGCGAACATTTTTTTCTAGGCATAGACTCGTATTGAAGACATAGAGACTCTCAACTCTCTAATCAAATAGTCCGCCCATAAGAATGATCCAGATCCAAAGTGCGCAGTTTTAGTTGTTGCTTTATGTTTATTATTATTATTATAAAATTAAATATATATATATATATATATATATAGTCATGTGGGAGTGGGAATTGCAGAAAATCACGTAACAGGCATCGAGCGGGTATTGCTTTTCCAGGATTCAACCTCGGCTTGAGGACATGATTGCCACCTATGAAGAGGTCTTTCCCTTTCCCCTATGGATCATGGAACCTGCCAGCCACGTGCACACAGGAATTCCTTGTCCATGCAAAAGCATCGGATTATAATAGGTTTTTGCCTCACATCACATCACATCACATCATTCCGGCTTATTTGGTCTTGCAAGTTTCATTCCGATCTGTTTCCTTCTTCTGGTTTCCTATTCCTGGAGTCGTGAATTCTCAAGCACCAACCTCGCTAATAATTAAAGTTTAAAGCAAAAGAAGAAATGAGTTCAGTTGAAGTTTTTCTTCTTTTCTCTATAGACATACGAACTTGAATTTCAACAGCACACATAAAAGGAGATGGAGCACTATGAGCCAGAAACGATGGGATATGATGTTAAGCCCAAGAGCGATGATTACCCGATAATCGCGCGCAAGGGTTCGGAGAATCTGGATTTATCGGTTCAACTCCAATTTCGAAGAAACAAGAGCCAAAACTATTATATATTATACTCATAATCTATGACTTTTTAGACCGAAAAACTGTGTGATTAAGTCATAAGCCCATGAATTGGGGAATATTAAAACTTTAATCAATCATAGAATCCACAGCGAAGTCCCCCGGCCTTTTTCACCTTTTGACAAAATAGCTTGCCTCAAGCACCGCGTTCAAGAATAAAAGTAATTAAAACTGGCGGTCCAGTAGCAATCAAGTAATTACGGGTGAGATCAGAATAGCAGCAGGCCAAATTGTCCTGCATATTTTTTTCTAAAAATTTTACGCCGTGAAGAAAAACAAAGTATTTTGTGTTGTGAGGCAAGTGAAAGTTTGTTACTTAAAATGGGGCCCTTTTGGTGAGTGCCGGGTCTATACAGAGCAGCTGAGCATGCGCAAACTGATGGTGAATGCTTTAAATAATGGGAAGAAGCATTCAACCAATTCAGTTGGTCAAATTAAAGAAATACGAGCATGACATCCAAGTTGAGTGCAAGAAAATTTTATAAGGAAATTTAAAAATGGGGCCTAAGTAATCTTCATCCACGTAACTAAACCCTAACCAATTTATAGAAGTTCCTATCAATGGAGTAAAAGTCATAGCTGTCAGTATTGTTTAAGTATGCTAAATAAAATGAATTACCTCACACGCCTTTCATTTGAGTCGTGCTGTGGTAAGAAAGTATAATATATATGTCCGTTAAAGTTTAGGCGGGTTGAATCTTAAGAATTTATCAACGTTTGGGCATATGTTTATATTTAAAGACTCAACAATAAGATCTTCAAATCATTAACATGATTTAGATCCAAAATTTTGTACAGCTACTTTTTATTGGCATATATGCATATCAAGTAGTGATGTGATAACTGGGGAAGCGATTCCACCGTGACAGTACTATGTTGGTCCCCCCCCCCCCCAACTTTCTACGATGGTGGCCCATATGGATACAAACACACATAATTATTTGTGTTTTCTTTTGGTAATTACAACTGATTATGCTCCCAACAGTGTGCCCTGCCATTTGTGTGTTTTACCATGTGAAACTTCAATCATAACCTGCCAACACAACACTCGCATCATCATTGTATCACCCTTCCGAAACCCCTCTCCCACCGTTTTTCTCCCATGGACAATCGAATTTTTTTTTTTTTGGACTCAACAATCGAATTTAATACTATTATTTTAATTTTTATATAAGAATTAGTTTGATTTTTAATCTTATTTTAAATATAAGATTTCAATTCATTTTATATCATATATTTATTAATTTTTTTAATATAATCCTTATAGTAACTGCACATGTTAAAGTTTCAATCAAATTATAATTTTAGTGAATATGCGATTTACAAGGATATTTTAATAAAGACAACACCTAATCATTATAAATAACTAGCTCAGCAAATTTTCTCAATTTATTCAAATTAGCCAATTTACTCTTAAATACGAGATATAATATTTTTATATATCTAACCAGCAACAAGTTAAATGTATGATCTCAATTTATTGACTAAGTTTCGGGATCAGAGAATGAAGTTGATAGATTGTGATTGTGAATAATGTAAGCCCGGAAAATTCCCTCTCCGGTCATGTGGGCGTATTCTGACGATATCTCCATGCTCCCATGCCGGATTGATTAAAATACAGAGACTTATTTAAGCAAGTAACTTTGTTCTTATGTCATGCATTGATCGATTCCATTTATTCCTTTTTTTTTTTTAATATACTACAATCGTTGTCTGTAGCATGTTTAAATGACTTTGACCGGATAAATGAATAGCTTTTTATAATAAATTTAGGTGGAACGCCTTGAGCAAGGGATGGCTCTCTAATTTTGACCGACTAATTAACAGGAGTAGCTGTTTACACACACACACACACACATATTTACCTACTGGTCAAGAGCCTTAACGTCACAAAAGAGGGTGAAAGTTTACACCCTTTGAACTGCACTCTCTTCGTCTCATTGATAACAATTAACCCACTTAACTGATACTATTCGATAGGAGAAGCCATGAAATGAAAAGCTTTAGTGGGTTCCATGCTTTTTGTCCTTATATACTCCTCCCATCTTTATTATAAAACCTTTAACCACTTTACGGCATAAAAAATATTTTTAAAATTAGTATTACATTTTCTCTCATATTTAATAACTCTGAATAGAAATAACATTGAAAATACATAATTAACACCCATCAAGCGGCTTGAACCATCTATTATTGGCAGAGGGTGTCTTATAATAAGGGCAGGGGGGAAGATTCTTTATTTTTTTATTTTCCAGAAAAATTTAAATATTGATTTTAATTTAATATCTTTCAAAACATAGATCTCTAAATTTGGCTGTGCATAAAAAGACTCGTTGAAGGAAAGGGGTGTGATTGTTGGGAACCATTCAAGGCGACACGAATGATAGAGAAGGACGAGTTGAGAATAAGTGCGTCATGGCCTGCCTCTGCCTCCGGGCTTATTGGCTTCGGTTTTACTAATTTAGCTTACCTTTCATTTTCCATCTGTTAATAAATGTGGTCTTCCTTCTCTACCTGCCTCCTTCATTCTTCTTCACTCACAGTCTTTTCCTTTCATTCATTGCTGCCTTTCTCGTTTCAAACTCTGTGAAGTCTGAACAGGCCCTATGACGTCGTTGAAACTTGCAAGTCCAAACGCAGAATCTGCCATCACCTTTGCTCCTATTGGCCCCCGTCTCATGCCCAAGCTTTCTGCGCTCTGCATGTCGCAGAGTAACATTGATAAGTAAAAATTAAAAATACTGAGAGGGTCCATTTTAAATTCGGATCTGTGAACTGAATCCCGTTCGCAACATTTGTTCCCTCTTTCACTGTTGAAGCATCTGCAGTCATTTTCTTTCTTCTCCCCTTGGGCGTTGTGCTCAGCACTTGGTGGAACCCCGTTTCGGATATATAGCTGTTCACACAGAAGCGTACCTTTCATGGCGTCGACGAGTGCTTGGTAATTTCAAAGCTTGCCCTCGCATTGATTGTTTCGCCCATTCTTAGTTCTTAGCTCCCTCACATCCGTGTTCTTCTCTGCACCACCTTTTGTCTTCTTCTCTTTCTCTGACCTCCCTCGTTGTCTCTTTGCATTGATAAAACCTTCGCTCTCTTTCTTCTTTCCTCTCCTTATCAACTCTGGTGCGTTTTTCATTTATTTAAATTCAAATTTTCCCAAATGTATGGACGATTTCTGAATTGTGGCTCTCTGTTAGATAGGGATTTTGTATGGAATGGTCTAAGCTAGGATACTTTCGAATCTCCGCTTTCCGGTGTTCTATTGACTGTTGAAGATCTTAACTGAGAGGTAAAAGGGAGCTTTGTGGCATTTTGGCATTTCTTTTGAATAACGTAGAAAGTTATCGCTGTCTAGTCAGTTCAATGTGATGATCATTTTGCTGTTGCTGTTCAATGAAGGTGAAAATTCCTCGTGAAGGGGTGCATTGAGAAGTGGTTTTGTTGCATCGTTTGTGAGGGAAAGATCCAAACTCCGATTCTTTTCCAAGATGCTGTGTGCTTGTTCCGGGGAGCAATTCAAATTCGAAGAGCCGCCACAGTCGCCGGAGTCCCTTGCTACAAGAGATTTCTCGGCCAGTGGGCTCTCTTCGAGGACTGGTGATTGGGAATCTAAATTTGATGACACCCAAGTAGATGAAGCTGAATCTACTCTTAAAGAAGCTCTCTCCTTGAACTACGAGGTAGAGATGTATTTCTTTCTTTGTAAGTTTAATTGACCACAATGAAAATGGTGCAAGGAATCATTCTGCATACAGTAGACTGATATTTGATTCTTCTTTTTGGATGAATTACAGGAAGCTAGGGCTTTGTTGGGGAGGCTTGAATTTCAAAGAGGGAATTTCGATGCTGCCCTTCAAGTGTTTCAGGGGATTGACATTAAGGGTTTGACTCCAAGGATGATTAGGGCCATTTCTGAGAGAACCAAGCAAAGAAAACCACGTTCTAAGGCCGATCGCGTGCTTCCCTCTATAATGTCAATGCATTCAGTAAGCCTGCTTCTTGAGGCTATTCTTCTTAAAGCTAAATCATTGGAGGCACTCGGACGCTACACTGGTATATTACTATCTTATTGCTTCTTTTATACATTTTGGAACCCTCTTGTGAGTTGTTCAATTATGATGTGTTATCAAAAATATCCAAAATGTTGTTTGTGGGTGCCGCGGCGTTGAAAATTTCGTCCTCAGATGAAGTAGCTTTAGCATTAATAATGTCAACAACTGCAATTTCCGTGTATTTGTACACTCAGGGGTGCCAATTGTAATGACTCTGACATTTTCTCTACCAGAGGCCGCAAAGGAATGCAAAGTAATTCTGGACACGGTTGATTCTGCACTACCAGCTGGAATGCCTCAAGGTTTTGGCGTAGATTGTAAACTGCAAGGGATGTTCCACCGAGCATTAGAGTTGCTTCCAGTACTTTGGACCAATGCAGGGTTACTAGATGAAGCTATCACTGCATATCGGCGGGCTCTGATCAAGCCATGGAATTTGGAGCCACAAAGGCTGGCCGCCATGCAGAAAGATTTAGCTGTCACGCTCCTCTATGGTGGTGTTGAAATGAGCCTTCCATCTCATTTGCATGTGTGGGGTGTAACAACGCCGAAGACTAACATTGAAGAAGCTGTACTGTTGTTACTAATACTCATGAGAAAGATAGCACTTCAGGAAATCGAATGGGATTCTGACCTATTAGATCATCTTGCATTTGCACTTTCAACTGTTGGGATGTTTGAGTCATTGGCAGATCATGTTGAGCAGATCCTTCCAGGTGTTTATAGTCGTGCTGAGAGGTGGTACTTTCTTGCCCTTTGTTATAGTGCTGCAGGACAGAATGAAACAGCATTGAACCTTCTAATGAAAGTTTGTGGTAGTTCCGAAGCAAAGCATATACCCCATTTTCCTTCCTTTTTATTAGGAGCAAAACTGTGTTCCCAAGATCCCAACCATGCCCATGAAGGCATTAAATTATCACGGAAAGTGATTGATCTAGCCAAGCATCAATGTGAACACTTTCAGGGTCAAGGTCACAAATTTCTTGGTGTTTGCTATGGGGCTGCAGCTAGAATTTCTCTACTGGATTCTGAAAGAGTTATATGTCAAAGAGAGTCTTTGAATTCCTTAAACCAAGCTGCTGTAATTGGAAATTGGGACCCTGAAGTGATATTCAGCCTTGGATTGGAAAATGCAGTTCAAAGAAATCTAGCGGCAGCTTATGAGAACGCCGTGATGTACTCAGATATGATTGTTGGTAGCTCAGGAAAAGGTTGGCAACTATTAGCACTCATTGTATCTGCACAGCACCGGTTTAAGGATGCTGAGACTGTAGTTGATTTTGCTTTAGATGAATCTGGAAGGACAGATCAGTTACAACTTTTAAGATTGAAAGCTGTGCTTCAAATTGCTCGGCAGCAACCTAAGCAAGCAATAGAGACCTACAAAATCTTGCTAGCTCTGATTCAAGCACGAAAAGATTTTTGGCTTGAATATAAGAACATCGATCCAGCAAACACGCTGAGACATGAGGTATGTGCTCTAAACTAATACTTAAGGTGATTGTAAATAATTAACACTTGTCTGGGGGAAGATGCTAAAAAATAAAAAGCTCGTTGTCACCTGTAGCTTTCTTAGCTCTGCAAAAAAATTTCTTGCTTATTTTTACTCTTCCATGTGCAGGATTTAACAGAAAAAAAATTGGAAATGGAAGCCTGGCAGGATTTGGCAACCATTTATGCCGATCTAGGCGCCTTACTTGATGCAAAAACTTGTGTAGACAAAGCCCAGCTTATAGAACTCTTCTCTCCCAGAAGTTGGCATATTACAGGCATGAAACCTGTCTGTTCAAGTATTTATTTAATCATTGTTATGTTTATGAACATGATAAGTTTATCCATTAACGAGACACTAAAATTCCACGGATACGGCACAATTGCAGGGAAATTGTTTGAAGCTAAATCATTATACAAGGAGGCCATTGTTTCTTTCACAATTGCGCTGTCGATAGAACCAGATTATGTTCCCAGCATCATTTCAACTGCAGAATTGTTGTTGAAAGCTGGTATGCAATCACTTCCAATCGCAAGAAGCTTTTTGATGAACGCTCTGCGTTTGGAGCCCACAAACCATGATGCGTGGTTCAACCTTGGACTCGTTTCGAAAATGGAAGGTTCATTGCAGCAAGCAGCAGATTTCTTCCAAGCTGCATATGAGCTAAAGCTTTCAGCTCCAGTTGAAAGATTTGTGGGGGTAATTGAGACTTCGAGATGAGAGAACACTCAAGGGAAAGCAAGTTTCATCAACAGCATAATAGATATTTGTTCAATATGTATAGCAATTCTAGCTACTCATCTGTAGATCTACTTCACGCTACTTCTAGCCTTCAGTCAAATGTCTCACACGTTACAGTTGAATGGATACAGGAAGACATTACTTTATACATTTATAGAGTAAATTTTGCTTCAATCAGTATCTTGTCAAACAATGAATTTAGTTTTAACTCTTTATTATAATAGCTTGATTGTTGCCATTTCGATATGGTTACATTTCTACACCATGAAAGGAACTTGCTCGAACTTTCTCTACTGTTTTGAAATGCCCATTCATGGCGTCGAGTAAATCCAGCTCAGATAGCCTAGTTTCAGCGAAGGTCCACATGGTCCTCCAGGACACCATCACTGTTATTCTAAACTCATTGTGGATTTGCTTGCAACATGGATTGAACTAGATTTTAAGCCTATTACTCTAACTTGCGCTTCTGGCATAACTAAATCGCATTATCTAACTTTTGCTTCTCTGGCAGATTAGTGTGTATCCCTTAGAAGATCAGAAGATGAATTTGAATAATGCATTTAATCATCGAATTGTTGATCCGTCAGATGCCTCCTCTCGTTTTCCAGTTGTTTTTATCCGCTTGAGAGAAAGATGTGAATGGTGTAATAGATATGCTCACGCTAAAAGAGATGAGTTAACATCAATATACTTCAAAAGGAATCCAGTTCCCGACAACGATTTAATTTAAATACAAACCAACCGAATTTACAGTCAGTAAACAGAGTGGTCCAGTTCCTGTTTTATCAACAAAGATAGAAAATGTCTGACTATATCCTGAAAGCTAACCCTCGTTTCCTTTACACCATGAATTCATCACAATCAGAGTATTTCTTGGACTCACACAACAAAGATTTGATGGATGATGCAGTTACGTTAAAGACCGTTTGTTCAGCTTTGGAAGAAGGGAATCCGGCTGCATGGAGAATATGACTGGACCTATGAGTAGTACTGCAAAGCAGAAAAAGAACCGATCACAACGAGGGAATGACACTAATCAGAGAAATAAGGTTCAGCATGTCACAGGCATTATGCCCTTAGGAGCGACTTTAGGCTAATAACTAGAAAAAAGCAGTAAGCTCATCCAATCCAATTAGGTAATCTTTGATTCAGAAGGTCAGACAGCTTGGCTTTAGTCAAAGTAGTTTTCTTTTCAACAAGGTAGGTTTTAAGTCCAAAAGGAGGGGAAAAGCAAGGTAGGCTTGATCCAGGAGTAAAATGAAGGGAAAAAAATAAATTAGACAATTAACATGCACACAATTAGCCAAATCTCGACCAAAGCTACTGACTCTATCTTTTAATCATATATTCATAACGTGTAGGAAAGATTATGGACTTGGTCATTATTCTTCTTCTTTTTTCAAAGCATGTATGCCTGATACAAAATTGATTTGGCCCTTAAAACTGCTATTAGAGCTTGGTTGAACCAGTGAAAATGGTTTTTGGCCAAATAAAACAGTGAAATCAGCTGCATTGTTGTAACGCCGAGCTTTCTTTATGTATATACACAACAAAAAGTCAAACACGTTTGACTTCTTATTATTGGGAAAAAGAAAGTTTGTCTTCCACAAAGGCCTTAAACCTGGGCTCCAGATATTTTGGCCAAATTTACGGCAGAAGAACCACCAAACCAACCTCAGCATTCAACAGATTGGTTTGCTAGATTTCTTTGACCTTGTCAAATTGATTTGGTACAAAAATAGTTTACAAGTTCGATTGGAAATATCCAGTCCATGCATACATGTAAAAACAATAACATGAGAAAATTTAATGGTGATGAATGTAGCTTGGATCATCAACTGAGGATGGAATCATTAAAATATTAATGCCGATTGTCTCAATGAATTCTTCCATTGGAAAAACTTGAGTTCCTTTTATCAGAACTGAACTAACTGAACAAACATGTACAACCAAACAACAGGCCACATAAATTTGATCAGATTGATTATTCACCTCACCTTACAAGGAATTTGACATTGTGACAGACAATTCCTGAACCTCAACCCATCTGCCACTGCATCCACAATTGACAAACCGTATTACAAGTTCTAAACCATTTAAGATTGTTAGTCAAGATGCACAAAGAACAAAGTAGCACATTAAAGATCAATATTTTGAAAAACAAGAGTCGTGTAAAAATATTCATAATTAACATGGATCGAGTCCATTTTGATTTATACAAGGACACTAGCAGATTTAACAAACAGCAAAAATCAATACTCGCCAAAAAACCAAAAAAGTTATCTTGAATCATTATACCTTTAGAACTGGCTCGCCTTTGTTGGTGTTTGCAGATTGCTTTGCCATTGCCTGTTGCTGTGCACGTGCAGCTCGTCCTGCCGCTGAATTATCAAATTGTTCTTGCCTGCAGTTACAATCAGAACATATAAGTTAGGCCAACATTAACTGTAGTCCTATTCTGTCATCACCGTCGCATGAGGAGGTCCAAGCATCTGTTGTGTTTCGTTTTGGGGCTTCACCTATTCATAGCAAGTCTCTGTTTTATGCTTCATCTACTAATTACAGTGGACTTCCATCGAATGCTCATTTACAAGCATGTTAAAAATGTGAAGGATGTCTCATACATGTCTTTTCCTGTTATCCTATCAATTTAGGTTAAGGATGAATCCGTCAAGATTCACAAACCTCATGCATAGTTATTACTCCGATAGATTAATTTTCGAATGTCTGATGATCAAAGATTCCAATATTCAATGCCGGTATTCCATCAAAACCCAAATTGGCGAAATATTTTCACGAATTCATCAATTTTGACACTTAAATTGTAAAAAGAAAATGAATTCACAGTAAAAAGGGGAGGGAGGAGGGATTGCCTTCTCTGGGCGGCTGCGGCGGCGTTAGCGCGAGCTTCTTCAGAGGCCAATCTCTCCTCTTCTTTGGTCATTCGCTTGTCGCCTCCGCCGAAGCAACCAAAGCACAGCCCCATCTTGCCGTCTATCAGACCGTCCCTGACTGTTTTTCTGTTCAATCTACTTTCTCGATTCCTCTGATTATCCTTTCTTTCTTCACCTTCTCGGGTTTGACTTCCTTCGTATTGTGGATATTCTCATGTTCCTTTTTCTGATATTATAATCAGGCTCTCGTGTATAAAACGCGTGCTTTCCTCCTATTTATGATTTATCCATTGCGCCTGCCATTCCCAGCATTTGTTGGAAGGTTCGTTTCTTTAATTTGATTTTCGGTTTCAGATGAGATAAAAGCTGAACACTTTCGGTCAAAAAAAAAGCTGAACACTACGTGTATTTTGTCCAATTAATGGGGCCCCACACACGGTGTCTTTATTTCAGAAATAAAATGCATTATTTTCTGGCCATCAAAAGGCAATATATGAAATTAAAAAATGAGTTGCAGTAAATAAAAATAGTGTTTTTTTCCCAGCACAATATATACAGGGAAATCCCAAAAAAAAAAACTGTTAAAATAAAAAATTGCACACAAGCACCCGTGTATAAAAATTGTTGTCAAAACTCATACTAATATTATCATATATTTCAATTTATAATTTTTTTATTTTAGGAGTCTTTTTTTGCCATTTTTCCACATATATAACTAGTGGAGTATACCATTTATCTTAGCTTTTTTTTTGTTGACATTTTCGCATGGACTAACGGTTTTCCAAATAAGTCAAGATGTTTTTTATTTGGTTAAAGTATACATTTAGTTTTTTAACTTTATGTAAGGTTTTACTTTAATCCCTTAACTTTAAAAAGTATCCTTTTAGTTTTTTTACCTCCATAATTGTTGGTCTTAAATGATATTTTTTATAACAATTATGATTGTTTTGAATATTAAACTTAATATGCTAGTATTTAGTAATGTTTTATCAGCATTGAAAAACTCAATATCATTATTTTTTATTAACAGTTTTAAGGTTAGAGAGCTAAAAATTTACTTTCAAAGTTAATGGACCAATTGAAAAAGAAATTATAAAGGAAATTGAAAAAGCACAGCGACAATTCATCTGGGGGGAACAAGAAGGAAATCGAGATGGCATGCCTTATCTTGGGACAAGTTATGTCAACCCAAAGAACATAGGGGAGTGGGAGTAAAATCATTACAGGTAATGAACGATGCCTTCCTCTTAAAGTTACTATGGAAATTCAAAAGTTAACCTACAGCACTATGAACACAAGTTTTGAAAGCAAAATACTGCAGAGAACAAGAAAGGGGGAAAAGAAATGTTAGTTAAGCGCACTGATTCACACCTCTAGAAAGAACTATGCAAGCGTAAAGGAGTTGTTTGAAGAACATGCCTTCATAGAGGTCAGAAATGGGGAATTAACTCGAGTATGGACGGATCATTGGATCAGAGGAGCAGGCAGATTAATCACACATGCGCTGGATACTCAAAACATAGATCTCTCTCTTTGTTTGAAGGACTTAGTGAGAGAGGATGGTACATGGGATATCGCTACCTTGGAACAGGTACTGCCGGAACAAATAAGGGATAAACTGGGAAAGGCACCGAGACTGAGAGACCAAGGGATGGATATGCTAGCTTGGAGCCCATATACAAGAGGAGAATTCACAATAGCGAGCACCTACAGAGCACTAACTAGGTTACCTGAACAAAGAAACAACATGTTTTGGAGAAAGGTTTGAAAACTTCAAGTTCCAAAAAGAATCAAAGTTTTTCTCTAGAGAGCATTTCATAACAAACTCCCCACACAAGAAATAACAAGCAAATGGGATGGCGGACAAGGAATTTGTAAAAGCTGTCGTCAGGCAAAGGAGGACCTTATTCATGCTATGAGGGATTGTCCAACAGCTTCAATAATATGAAAGAAACTCATACCTGAATAAAAAAGGAACTCTTTTTTCAAAGGTAATTGGGAAAAGTGGATCCAGAAAAATGTTCTTCAAAAGGGATACAAGCTAGAAGAGGACTAATGGCCTGAAGTTTCCGCTACCTGTTGCTGGTTCATATGGTATTGGAGGAACTGCAAAGCACATGATGACGCCTTTAACCAACCTTGGAGAGCTAATGCAATTATTAAACAATACATCAGAAATTATGCTGGGAGGCAGGAAGAATAGGGAGATAATAATCAACAAGTGGAAATTAGAAGGATTAAATGGTTACCCCCAAAAAAAGATTGGTGCAAGCTTAATACTGATGGAAGCATTAACCATAAAGGGGAAGCAGGATGCGGAGGAGTCATAAGGGGAGATTGTGGAGAGTGGTTGTGTGGTTTTACAGTGAAACTGGAGAAATGTGACATTAGACAGGCTGAAGCTTGGGGGATTATTGAAGGGCTACTGTTATGCAGGCAAATGGGTTTTGAGAAGATAGAAGTAGAGTGCAATGCAGATCAGATAATCCAAGAAATCAAGCAGGAGTCTAGAATTAAGGGTAGTTACCTGATCTCTAGAAAACTAAAGGATCTTCTTAAGTTGCAATGGCAGGTTGAATTTAATCACGTCTTCAGGGAGGGAAATCAGGTCGCTGATAAGCTTGCAACGATGAGTAATGAGATGAACGCAAGACACCTTACTTGGGCAACCCCACCTGGCTGGATTGAAGAACTCATCAAGATGGATGCTTCTGGCTTTGAAACCCCGAGAAGAATAGTTGTCATAATGGTTGGGCTTGGCCCCTTTCTTTCACCAAAAAAAAAAGTTAATGCATCAAAATGAAACATTGTGTAAAGTTAAATATCTAAAAGTATACTTTAGTCTTTTTATTTTTAAATGCTATGACTTATCCTAAATTTTATTTTGTACTACTTCTGATCCTTAATATAAGATTTCATTCGACTTTTATTTTGACTCTAATTATAAGACCCCAATCCACTTTGTCTCTCATATTTATACATTTTTTTTCAAAATAGTCCCTCTAATAATGATAGTTCTAGGTAATAAACTTGATTAATAAGGATATTTTAGGAAGGACAACACCTATTTATTACAAATAACTAACTTAATTTATTTTTTTAATCTTTTCAAAATAATCAACTAGCTTTTAGTAGTAATAGTTTTTTAGACATCACAGTGGATGAAAGAAGTCACAATATTTTTTTATCTGAATAAATCACTATCTGCAACTCGTGAATATGGTGACGTATCACAAAATTTAGGCGGGGGATGCGAAAGAATGATTTTAAAAACGTACATTTATTGAAGAGATTACTTAAAGTGTAACTATTTATTATGTAAAATATAAATTTAAAACATTCTTTTTATTTATTTATTATTATAAACGGGGCTATTTTTGTTTTTTTTTTGTTTCACTTCCTCCTCTGTTCTTGCTAAGCGCATCTCATATACTTGACAATTGCCATCAGAATTGAAGGATGAAGAATCATACCTCTCGCGGGTGGCTTGGGTGAACCAGGGAAAAAACTTTGACAACTGAAAAAGCTCAGCGACGTCGAACTCTTGTCTAACGCTCCCTCCAATTCTTAATATTATTTTGTACTCTCAACATAAAATTTGAGTGGATTAAAAAAATTATTGAATTAGTTATTTGTAATAGTTACATATTGTCTTCTCTAAAATATTCTTACTAATTATGTGTTAGCTAAAATTACCATTTAATTGAACCTTTAACATATACAACTACTATAATGACTATTTTAAAAAAAAATAGATAAATATAAAAAACAAAGTAGATTGAGATTTTATATTTAAAACCAAATTAAAAGTTAAACTAACTCTTATATTAAGGACTGGAGATAGTGTAAAAGTTAGTTGACTAATTTGAGTGAATTAAAAAAATAAATTAAGTTAATTATTTGTACAAATAACCAAATATTGTCTTTCTTAAAATACTCTTGCTAATCAAGTGTATTAGCTAGAACTATCATTTGATAAAATATTTAACATATACAACTATTATAAGGACTATCTTAGAAAAAATGAATCTATATGAGAAATAAAAGAGATCTTATGTCTATGATTAAAATGAAAATTAAACTAGTTTTTGTATTAAAAGTTAACTCAATTCGATTTGCTTAGTCGCTTTGGTCCAATTTTTCGAACAATAATAATATAATGGAGGGCTAACTGGAGGGACTAATGTTATAAAGCTGGCTCACGATTTGCCCCCCAGAATTCGTCTGAGGCTTTGGCTTCTTTTTCTTTCTTTCTTTGCTTTTCTATTTTTGTCTTCGCGGGATATGGCAGCACATCTGTTGATTGCAGATGATGCAGACCTACGGAGAGGACGTTCCCTGTAGGTATGTGTGTTTGGTGGGGGTATGGGGGTTTCTGCTTCTGGGTGCCGGGGTGATTTTTGTGGCCACAAAACCAACTTCTCGTCTACTAAAATATCTGTATTTAGTACCTTAATTGTCTTAAATAGAATTATTTTTATTGAAAATATTTAGAGTAGCAAAAGAAAAAAAAGCAGTAAATCGCATATTTCAAATGCTTGTTTGGTTCGATGCATTACAACAGGATTCTTATAATTCTAATTTCTAATGTAATGTCCCCTTCTAAGTATTTAGTTGGCATATTTAGGTTGTAAAAGCGATTACTTAATTCATCAAGATTCTACACTACTAAAAATAAAAAATAGGAATTATAATATATGGAAATATGTGAAAAGACCTTATTTGCCCTTGGCTTCCCTGTCATCTCCCTCCACCCTCACCATTCCCAAAGACCTTTCCTCCCCCAATGGGCACCTTTATCATTCCTTCCTCCTCCATTGTTCTTGTTTGTTCTTCATTCTTGTTCCTCATTCCCCTATTTCTTCCTAAATTTCTACCTAAGTTCTTGCTCTTGTTCTTTGTTCCTGTTTGTTCTTCATTCATTCATTCATCTTCCATCATTCGTTCATTTGAGCTTTTAAGGATTCAATGTAATAAGATTCCGTATTTCGAATAGAATGAATTCATGGCGTCCTCACATAGGACTCATCTCTTGAATTAGAAATAGTTATCATATTTCAAAAAGTCATTTGATTACAATATCTATATTGAACTCCTTGTCTTGGGTGGGTGATTCCATAAATAAAATGATGTGGAAGTTACTAGATATAAATCTCTAGAACTTTCTTTACTAAAGAAGAAACTTTTTTCCCTGATTTTCAGTGCATTCTAGTTGAAGATGTGGAGAGGAGAAGGGAGGATGAGGAAGGACTAACAGGGGACAACAGTACTAGGAATTTTATTTGTGTGTGAAGACATTTTTATCCATTTGGTTTTATTCGCATCTAATTAAATATAAACAGCAGTAAATTTAATTTTACCACTTTTAATGTTGTACCAAACAACTTCATTGTAATAGTCATTCCATTACATTACATTTCCTATGATTACATTTCATTACATTCCCACCGATTTTACAAACCAAATGGGCTACAAGTTTTTTTCCCTTGATTCTGCATATGTTTAGAATATCTCAATTTTGAATAAAATTTTTATACATTATTTTGCTTAAATTAAACCCTTATAATTTTATCGGTTATAGGCATCCATCTTTGAGTTAAAAACCTTTAACACTGCTGATTTCAATCTATAGAAGTTTATGGAATTTACGGAATTTTCATCATTTTATTTAAGACCATTTTGAGAAATATATAAAGACATGTGGATTAATTTTTTTGTAATTATTTGGTAAGTGAGGTCTTTGTGTAAATTTTAATTTTAATCAGGCTGGCAAATTTTTTTAAAATTTTAATTAGGTGTTAGTTAAGCCTGGATTTTATGCTTTTCGTTGGAGGCCAGAATTGTTCGACAATCCAGCATGGCCGCTTGCTCTCACAGAACAACTATATACAATTAATTTTTCTTTGATGATTACCATAAGATCAGCCTTAATATCCTAGCAAAAATTTACACCCACAACATGTCACGACTTGTATTCACAAAAAAAAAGAGACCATGGGATTGTACAAGAATTTTGTTTTTTTGTTTTTTAAAAGGGATGAATCTCAGATCACCTTCACCAGCTTTTCCGATGGCCGTGCCTTCCCGGAGATTTTGCTCTCTGTGTCGGCGATCCCAACCCATTACCCTCCTTCTTCTTCTCATTCATGCCTTTCACATACTCTTTCTTCTTCGCTGACTTTCTCGATTTCGAGCTTTCCTTCAATGCCGGCAGGCTCGGCACAATATACCACACAATACAGGTGCACAGAGTCGCCGCCGATCGCCCAAACACAATCAAGAACACTAAAATCAATATCATCACTATTGGCAGATACTCCGACGGTCGTCTCCACATGTTCCAAGGAACCCTCGTCTTCTCCGCCTTTCTGTGATCAGATTCCGCATTGGAACGCCTTCTAGAATATTCTTCCACACCAGAAGATTCAATGGCGGCCTTGTTATTATCGACTGGCTCCGAAATTACAGGCGCAGCTGGTCTTACTTTCAGCTCTTCGCTCTTGTGCTTCCGTGGGTCCTTGTTCTTCGATTTGACCACCACAGGGACGAAGTCATCTGTTTCGGTGTAGACGAAGCGAACGAAAGAGATATCGTGAGGGTTTGTCTGCGAGTAAATCTTCTGCCTCTTCTCGTCCAGATCAGCTAGGAGTGCAGAAAATTTATCCCGCCCAATCGTCGAGTAAGGATTATTGTTCTTGCCTGACTTGCTATGGCTTTTGCAATTTTTAGATTTTGGCGAGGCGGAAAAATCAGAGCTCTTACGACAAGCTTCATCTTCTTCCTCGTGATGAAAAGCACCACACTGAATGTTCTGAGCATAAGGGAAATTCTGGGTATTTGATATTTTTGGGAATTTGATAAGTGGTGGATTGAATTGAAACAGAGGATGAAAGCGGAAAGAGTGTATATATATTGAACTATTGAAGAGGTGTGAAGGGGAGACTGAATCAAACCAGAAGAGGGGATGTATGACAATTCAAAAGGCTTAAAATTAAAAAAATGTGGAAGAGGAAGCTTGTGACGTGGTGAAAATGGTTTATCTTTGACTTCTTAGCATGTTTTATTTGTTACTATTTCGAAGAAATTGAGTTGGGGATTACAAAATAAACATGTTGCTGTTGCTTGGGGAGAAAGATGGGCATCGGTGCACATCTTTTTATAATAACACCACAAGGATTTTTTTAAAAAATATATTTACATTATGAAATAATTTTATATTAAATACAGATGTTACAGTGTAGCGTATGCATTGGATGCAGTGATTTTCACAATGACGCTATAAGAATGAAATAAAAAATAGGAGTAAGGTAGATTCCGTGTTTTAAAATTTTTTTTAGGTATATTTAACATTATATTCAGTACCCTAAAAGATTTATCAGGTGTGTGTATTACCTGAGGTATTTTTTTTGTTTTGGTATTGGATACACAAAAAACTATTTTTGGATGCTAGACATATTTGAAAAAATATTTTAGAGTGCTAAATATACAAAAAAAAACTTCAAAGTACTGGATGCATTTTAAAAAAATATTTCAGAACGCTAGACATACTACAAAATATTTCAACACCCGAAAAAATACTTCGAATGCATAGTAAGCCTAGAATATATTTGCAATCTTTTAATTTTTAACTTCATTTTATTCTATCCAAATTGATCGGCTTGATTATTTGATAGTCACTATCAGTATTAAGTTTTATGTTTTTTTTATTTCAATTTAATTGCTTAATTTCATTTGGAATTTCAACTTTACAGCAAAGGAAGTTTTTTTAAACAAAAATAATGTAGATAAATTTACTAAAGAGAAATTAAAAAAAGAATGACTTCTGCTGTAGTTTATCGAAATTATTAGCCGGCAGATGAATGAATGTGTTCGAGAAGGTCACCGGCTGAAATTAAACGCCACAAGGGTGGTTGGGCAGCCAAACAAATATGGGAAATATTTTTTGTTTTAGTAATAATAAATAATAACGGCCCAACATCTATCCATTCACTGATGTAACTGTCAATTTATTATGTCTCAAAGTCTGAATTCTTATCAATTTGTTTTCTGAAACAAACTTTTTGTAAAGTTCATAGTGTGTATAGTCGTATTTATCTCTTGGAAAATTCATTTTATCAAATGTCCAGAGTTTCTTAATTATTTTTATAGGACCTTATTACTCCTCCGGTCCTTATTATAAGACCCCATTTGACTTTTTATTTGGTCCTAATTATAAGACCCCAATCCATTTTGTCTCTTATATTTATGTATTTTTTTCAAGATAATCCTTCTAATAATGATAGTTTTAACCAATATATTTAATTAGCAAGGATATTTTAGGAATGACAACACTTATTTATTATAAATAACCAACTTAACTTACTTCCTTAATCTCTTCAAATAAGTCAATTGGGTCTTATAATTAGGACCGGAGGAGTAGTATTTTGTGATAACCAGCTGCTCCGGTTGAAAATACAAGCTACTTTTACTACATAGAGTATCAATTATGTGAATGTGATCTACATTTTTAAATATCGCATGATGAGCATAATTAACATCTGATTATTTACATAAATGCAACATTATAGCATACACGTAATACGTTGTTCTCATATTTTTCGGTTTTTAATTATTTAAAATATATGCTTGCCGCCAATGCTGAGGTCTGACTGAGATTCCCACAAGATCATGGTCGATGCCATCATTGATGTCATCATGTTCGTAACTATATGTTTCTAAATTTAAGTGTTTGTTTTGTAATGTGCATTTAAATATAATCCAACAAAAAATGTGCACCTTCGCTCCTAAATATAATACTCATTTTATAATGTAATTATTACACTACAAAATATGTTTTATATTTAGAACCAGATATCAAAAGTTATTTTTAGCTTATACTACCTCTGATTCTTAATATAAGATCTTGTTTGATTTTTATTTTGATTCTAAATATAAGATCCTAATTCACTTTGTCTTTCATATTTATGCATTTTTTTCAAGATAGTCCTTCTAATAATGATAGTTTTAGCCAATATATTTGATTAACAAGATAATTTTAAGAAAGACAATACTTATTTATCATAAATAATTAACTTAACTTATTTTTTAATTTTTTTAAATTAGTTAACTAATATTTATAATTACAACCGGAAGTAGTAATATTTTCTTGAGAGCAAAAATAAGATTTATTTTTAAATTAGTAATATTTTTAATAGTTTCTACTTATTTATTTTGAACAAAATCTAATACTTCTTCTCGTCTAATTTGAGTAGATTGAAAAAATTAATTAAACTAATTATTTATAATAAATAGATGTGTTTTTTTTTAAAATATCCTTACTAATAATCAAGTGTATTAGCTAAAATTATTATTGTTAGATGACTACTGTAAAAGTAAATAAATATGAGAGACAAAATGAATTAAGATCTTATATTTATTATCAAAATAAAATTTAAATGAGCTTTTATATTAAAAACCAGAAGTAGTACATAGAGAATTGATGGCATTTTGGGCTAAATGTGCCTGAACCTGAAGTAAATGGCTTGCTATGAATTTTAACTTTTTCATCTTGATGCATTAACTTATTTATCCGTCAAAAGGTTTAAATACAATAATATGTAGTAATAAAGCACGTTTACTTTTTCCTTTTTTGCAAGTATGCCTGTAAGGTAAATTTTCACGAGTCAACGTCGGACTTTTTCAAGCGCATCCATGCACTGAATTCTACTGAGTAACACAAAAAATGGAAGGCGCAATGGTAAACAGATCCTTCCTTACAATATAGAAGCTTTGACCAGAACTCAAATTGCCTTTATCTTGTACTATTATATACATGATATAACGTTCTGAAATGGTCTTCGCTTATTTTAATAATACCTTGTAAAAAGATCCAATGCCTCTTAGGAATTGGTAAGACTTCGATTATAGTATTTTCAAAGCTCTGCAGCTTCTTATAAAAATAAAAACCGTGTTCCCTCGAGATTATTTTACCTTCTCAGAAATTATAGAAGTCTACTTGAAATAGTCAGAATATGAAATTATGGAACTCCTGGGTTTGTCATTTAGTCCCTCTGACCTTGTGAAAACAGGGCAACGATTGAACAATTTGTTTATTGTCCCTTCTTTTTGAGCGGGTCATTATTGGTTTGGAGACGAAGCTATCAGGATATAATTTCCTTGGGTGCCAAGGAGCCTTGACTCGAGATTTGCTGCCCATATTATTAAAAACTCAAGTAAGCCTCTTACGGTCAAAACAACAGTGCGGTCCTTAAAGTCAACCTCATAATTTTTTTGGCCAAAAAGTCAACCTCATAATTTATGCTCTTCGGATTTCACATGTTCCTGCTGACGCTGACTTCTCCCAGAAATTTCTGCTGAAAGAACAAACTATGCTGATCTACAGGTCCCCAAAAAAAAAAAAAGGCCGATCCAGAGGGCGCTGCCAGACCCTGCCGCTGCATTTATTAGAGTCAGAGAATCCCACGGACTCATTAAAGCGAAAAAACTACAAAGAAAGCACAAGATTTCGGAAGCTAAGATACAAAAGATAATTAAAAAAAAAAGGGGGGGCGTTCCGAGAATCGAACTCGGGACCTCTCGCACCCAAAGCGAGAATCATACCACTAGACCAAACGCCCGATTTGCTAATGGAATTGTAATTATTAGACTCTAACCAAAACTGCAGTAATAATCAATTGATGAAATTTACAGCTACACGGAAGATTTACAGGGAGGGAGGTGCGTACTGCAAAGTGGGGCATTCATTGACTAAATGCGAGCTGTCATCATAATTGAAGGTTGATGGAAGAATACCGATTCACAGGCACAACCATCATTACAGGTTCGTGTGCAGACACTGTTCAGACACAGATCTCCATCATTTAATTTCGTTCATCTCAAAGTTCTTACGCTAATATTTTTGTGGAAAAAGTTATTTCACTCCATGACCTAACAAAAGCTGTCAAGTTTACACCATCTTCCAGCTCTAACACAGCATTCTTGTCCGTTAGAATCTGTAATTGCAAAGATGTCATTTTTACTCTGTCATAGTCTCTCAGGCTTAAATGGAACTTCCCCAATCCTTGTAACTGAAGAAAATATATATGGGTTAGGTGCTATAATCTGAAAAGTGAGACTTGAGAATGAGAGCAGGCCAGCTGGGTGTTAACTGATGAATAGCTGACAGTTGCCCATTTGGGGACATGGGACCTTCCAATCACAAAGTGTCTTTCCAAAGGAATACAGTTTGATTGAACCAAAATAATCTACTCGCTCTCGTTTATTACTACTCTCACTCGATACTTGTAATTTACAATTCAAATAAGAAATAACAATTAGTCAATTATAAAGCCAAAATGTTAGGGTCATGCGATGAAAAAAAAAAAAAAAGCAATGCTAGTTAGGCATGAACAATCGTAAAAGTGGCGATACTTCAGCAGGGAAAAGCTTTGCTTTTTTGTTTTGCCTGCTACGAGCTACGGTATATTCCTTGCAATTTACTCATTCATCCTCACAGTTAAGAGATAGTGAAAGGAAAAATACAATACCTAGGTGAAAACTGTAGTTAGGTGCATAAGATTTGGACACAATGATTGTCAATGACATAATATTTGTTAAGAGGTCTGCTTTTGGTCTCCGCAATTATCTGCTGGACACATTTGCCATTCTCTTTTTCTCATATCATCTTCATTGCTCTGTTGGAACAGAAACTCAAAACATTCGGAGAATCATCTGCTTGCTTCTACTGGGTAAGGGCGCGACTCAGAGAAAAGAAAAAGATAAGAAAGGATGGCATTTGCAGGAACAACCCAGAAGTGTATGGCTTGTGACAAAACAGTTTATTTGGTTGATAAACTAACAGCAGATAACCGAGTGTACCATAAAGCTTGCTTCCGATGCCACCACTGCAAAGGAACCCTCAAGGTCTCTATCTTTCCCTCTGATCTTATCCGAGACTTGATTATGTACTTCTCAGTTGCTGTTCTAGTTCCAGTTTCTAGGATTGGATCTGGTGTCTAAAGTTGATCCTCTGAATAAGAAGATAAATTCACTAGAGCGAGTTACATCAATTTTTGCACTTTAATTCAATTCTTTGGTGTTCTAGAATGAGGCCTTTTCATCCCGGAACACATCAAACGCCAGAACTTCCATCGGTTCCTTGTATCATCGTGTCTTCTATGTTTTCCGATCAGTTCTGGTTTGCATATAGAAGAAATTTGTGTCCCCAAAGCACACAAGGATTTGATGCTAAAGAATTCTAGATCAATCCATGGATTCAATGTGGAAAACAATTCTTCTAGTTTCATACCCGGAATTTTTTTCCCGAAATATTGGAAAATCTGAATATTGGTGTATTACACTTTCATTATCTAATTTTCACCCAGAGAAAAGGGAAATCCATATGTTCTTGTGGCTTGAATTGAAGTATATATTGATTTATTTATTTTTTTGATAACGATTTGTTTATTTTTTGAACTGGATGAATTTTAGCTTTTATCCAAACTCTGGAAAATTAAGGTAGATCTGATTCTTTGTCCCCTTGGATGCTCTGTTTTTCATTTTACACAGCAGAAACTCACGTGGTAACCTGATTTTCACCTTTTTAGTTGTATCACTGGATGATGAGCACATGATATTGGAATCAGTTTCTGTCATTTCCTAAGATGCTCTGGGAAAATTACTAGATGACAGTTTTTGTAAGTTTACCAACTGATCAATGTATTTTGCAGCTTAGCAACTACAATTCTTTTGAGGGAGTTCTTTATTGCAAGCCACACTTCGACCAAATTTTCAAAAGAACTGGCAGTCTTGAGAAAAGCTTCGAAGGTAACAAAGGGTCAAACGCTCCAATCATTAAGTTCAACTCATTTTTTAATCTTCTCACTAACTCAATCAACCCTACTTCATTTTGCCTGATTAGGAACACCAAAAATTGCAAAACCAGAAAAACAAATTGACACTGAGGTAAAAAAATCCTTAAATCTAAGGTTCTTGCAGCAAAGAACATTTTCAACTTTTTGGCATTCATCTAATTGTTGCGCTGTTAAACCAGAAACCTGCAGTAACCAAAGTCTCGAGTATGTTTGGTGGTACCAGAGATAAATGTACTGGTTGTCAGAAAACAGTCTACCCAACTGAGAAGGTAGTTGGCTCATTGAGCCCACAGCATCCAATGCCACACAATTGATTTGCTTTCCGTAATTTGAACCATTGATCATTGATGCAGAGGTTTAAACTACTACTCTTTCAACTATAGGTTACTGTAAATGGAACGCCTTACCACAAGAGCTGTTTCAAATGCTGCCATGGTGGGTGTGTTATAAGTCCGTCGAACTACATTGCGCACGAGGGTAAACTCTACTGCAAACACCACCATATCCAACTAATCAAGGAGAAGGGCAACTTAAGCCAGCTTGAAGGTGATCATGACAAGAGTGAAACAAATGACAAGATCAATGGGGAAGAAGTTGCTGCCTAGTGCCTAGACACGAGGTCGCTGACAAAACCAGAGGATATTTGCCTGATTTCAATTTCCTATATTCTCTGCCCCTTTTGCCTGCGTTTCTGGTTTTTACCATTTATTTGGAGTCCATCAAGCTTTTTCCCGCAACTGATATTGTATTCCTCTGTTTCCAGTTCATGTGTGTGGATGGATCTTCATAATTTGAATTTGCTTTTGGATTCTGTTGTGAGGTTGTTGATACCACAATGAGTTGTCAAGAGCATTTGATTCGATTAACGTGATTGAGACTAAGTACTTCAGCACTTGAAACACTCATTGATTTCTGTTTCTCGTATCATTCGTCTCCCCAGTTTACTTACTAAGTGACACCAAATTTCTTTTCCCTCAATAGAACATACACATAACCTTTTTTTTTTCTTTTCAAGTGATTGTAGACTGCAAATCATAAGCCCATTTTCCCCTTCTTTTTTGTGAAATAAGCCCATTTTCCTCTCGACAGAAGATGAGGAAAGACTAAATTTCAGTGATCGTGTTAAAGAACGATATAACAACTGCGATGCTCAACTTGTCAGATATAACATATTGGCATCTGAAGGAGGACTGCAGGTAATTAATGAAGTAAATTATAATGTCACATCCCTGTTAGATCCTCAGTGAAGAAATATACAATTTGGATAAAGCAGTGTCATTCACGTAGAAAGGCAGCAGTTATCTGAAACACTCTATCCTAATAGACGAAGGGGGAAAAAATAATGTGGCGCTAGACAACCAACCTCAGCTAAGGAAATTACCATGGTTGTCATCATCATAAAATTCACAGGGAATAAAACACTATCCCACGAGGTATGGTGGTAAGCAGATAAATGAATAATCTATGCTTAAAAACCGATGCAGAATAAGGAAACTAATCGGTAGAGAGATCTAAACACAGTCATCATAGGCAATACGCTTCAGGTCTACTATGAAATTGTCCCGAACGAAGCCAAATCCAAAAGTACCATTCTGGTACCGCCAAATCCTTCCTTCTGCACTCCTAGTATTTACTGTTCTAGCAAGGTCTGGAATAATCAACTCATAGCTTGAGCTTATGTGGAGAATTCCATTTACCACTTCATTTTCTGTCAAAGGGAAACAGTGGTGAATCTCACTGGCTGCTTCAAGTGGTCTGAGATGAATGCGAGTGTCATACAAATACTCCTCCTCAGGGGAGAAAGGTGATTCTACAAATGTAGCATTTGTTGTCCAGAAGACCGGGGAATGACTGGGAAATCGTCCAGTAAGATTCCCAACTTGCCGACAAGCAACACCCCCAATATCATCATACGCCACAAGATAAAAGGCTAAACTCCTGTCACCACCAATACCCTGCATATCGGTATCAAAGAGACCAATTTCAGTCGTCATACCGCAGGCATCATCAGTTTTCAAATCATCCACTTCACAAATGAAATGAAAAAAGAGATTGTACAGTAGACTTTTACTTAAAACCCTTCCTCAGTATAATGATATCATTTGCAGATTTTGTTTACATGAATTGGATAGTAGAGGTGCATATCCTCAGACATTTTAAACAGCATCACCAAGCGCATTCTAAATAGGAGGGACTCTGTACGCAGGCAATGAAAATCTAAAAAGGACCACCTGCACCGGATTTGTTCTTCGTGCATTTCCCCTCCTCTCTAAACTTATTCCAGGGTTGAAATGACAGAAGTGAACTACATGGGACGCAAATAAATATTCTCCATAAAAGGCTCGACCAGACAGTGATATCAAATGACAGATATCAGAGCAATATATCAGATCAACACGAAAGCTTAATGAGCATAGCAAGTTGAATGAGAAGTTCAGCACCTTCCATAGGCCTTGCAATGGGCGTGATGGAGTGGGTGCACAATTAACAATCTTCACGAAATGCTCAGGCTCCCATTTCCTTCTAGCCAGCCTTTCCTTCTCTCTCCTCCTTTGTTTCCTGGATTTATCACTACCTGGGCTCGTCCTGTTAGCAAAATGCTGATAAATGTCTGACATCAATCTGTCTGGTAAGCTTCCTGGTGATCCACTGTCGGCACCAACCACATCTTCTCCAACAGTGCAATAATCTGAACTCAAATTCGTGCTACTCGAACTTCTCCTGAATCCATGTTTCCTTTGGTCTGGACTACTGAAATGGGTAAGGTTTTGATTTTCCTCCACAACAAAGTGTGTTTTCCCCATAAAACTAACATTGACCGGAATCAGTTCATTATCAGGCATGTCGAATTGCCCAGAGATCTCAAAATTACCGGACATTTCAGTTTGCCCATCGGGATCGAGAAAATTCAGAACCTGTCCTTCCGACGATAGACTCATCCGCAAAAACGGTGACTTTAATATATCGTAGGTCCCAGTTTTCGACGGAGAAACTCTGGAACCGGCGAGGAACGATTGGCCCCACTCGAAGATAACCAACGACGGTGATGCAATAGCGATGCTTCCCGGTCCACTTCGACGCCAAAAGCCAATTAGATTTTCCCATTCGTTGAGGGTTTTGTACAGAAGGCGGTAGCTAATTTTCCCATTGCCCCATTTCGTGATCTGTGTCTTCGAACCCCACTTCCTGTCGCACAGGCTAAACCAGAGTTTGCTATCGTTGCTAAAGAGGGAGCCAAATCGCTTGGATGTGCAGGCAAAGGTGGCAATATCCGATGGTGTGAGGAAGGAGAGAATACAAAGCTGGACATCTTCAGGGAAATCGGTGAAGGAAATCGAACCTCCTTCGTTTTCCGTAAAATTTGGGTCTTCCAGATTCGCCATTTCTGTCCCGGCTACGTTAATTCTCCGCTGATCGCCCGGTTTCTTTCTACAGGCTGGAAATGGAAGATACAAGCTATGGAAAAAATGGGGAGCGAGTATGGCTTTCGTCGAGGGTTTTCTACCGCATCAAAATAGGTATTTCATAGATTCTGGTTGAAGAATAAGAGGAATTATTCCCAGATTCTCCCCATCTTCAGCCTGTAGCTGAAACTGACATGATTTTGTGTCGCGTGAGACTCCAGTTGAAGTCGTGCGGCCAAAACGGCAGAGGGAAACGTGACGTTTTCTAGTTTCGTGCCCCCATGTGATCACTTATCGTACGAACGACCAGAGGTTGACTCAGAAGCGGAAAGAGTTTTCAAAAATATTCCTCGATTCCATTTTTATTTCAGAGGTTGATTGCATTTGCATCAATAACTTCTCTTCCTGAACGAAGACCGGAAAGGCACCACATTTCTTGCGATTTACAGCTTAAATTTTTTTTTTTTTGCCAGAACAACTTTAATTATTTTTTAAACCATACAACCTCATTTATTTGATTAGCAATAATCATATACAGTACATAATTACACACTTCATTTAGTTTATTCAAATTTAATGTGATTTTTTCATTACATTGTTTATTAAATCAGAAAATATTTCTATCGATCAAAACACACACACATCACACACAGTATTTTTGTTAAAAAGCAATTACTGAATCACAATCTAACATAAGATAATAAAAAAGTTTTGCAGAAGATAAGTATAACAAATCTATGGACCGTGCATAATGTGGAGACTGGAGACCGAGTTGGATTTTTTTTTTACAGATGATATGATTGTTTTAACTCCATGCAAATACCATTACAGGCAGCTTTTGATTTACAGGTGCTGGGCTAGATCGATCTGGACTGTTTAATGGGCTTTCTTTTGCTATCGACACTGTCTTGTTTGTCTTAATTCAGTAGCGAGCTTTTAGTTGGACTAGGCTAGGAGTTTGGAAAACTTGGCCTGATGTGTTTTTTTTTTGGGGTGTAATGAGAAACAAAACCCACAACAATCCCAGAGCCTTGCGGACTTGGCTTCTCTCCTTTATCCTTCCCATCCACTTTCCCTTCACCTTTCGATTGAGATTTGGGTAATCCAGATTCAGTTTTTTTTTAATTACTAATAAAATGTCAAGTCATTAAAAAAAAATAAATGAGTAGATTTCAAATTTCAAAACTTTACTTGTAACAATTTTAAATTGCAATAAAAAGACATTTTAAAAGTAATTTTAAAAATATTAAATTTGGATCACCTGAGTTTTAATCTGAAGGTGGAAATAGGGGGTGGAAAGGAAATGGTTGGAAAGGGCAGAGAAGATAAGTCAAGTTCAAACCTCACTGTCAACCACACTGAGCCACATGTACATCGGCTCATTAGCCATACATAGCAATAAGGAGGGCATCATAAAAACAATCGATTTGAGATTTAAAATTAACATTGACATCTTCATGTGCATATTTATATTTAATTATGCAAAGCCAAGAAATAAATTTGCATGACGTTGTAACTTTAAAACTCTGATATGAGTTTTCACATTAAGAAACAATTAACGTACCTCTGTTTAAGATTACATGCAGTCACATTTCCCTTTTCTCCAAAGCTTAAAACCAACTATAAATTGCTAAATTAATTTTTTTATTGGTAAATTTTGCTTAGTAATAGTTGAAAATAGAACTCATTAAGGAAGCCGTTGCCTCATGCCTGTCACCAGGCTGGAGTCATAGCCTACTCATGGAACAAGAAAAAGCCCAGATATATTCCAAGTGTCATCTTATGTGGCGCGGACATATTGGTCTTTACCCCTGAAACAAGCAAACCCAAAATGGTTAAAAAAAAAGGGGAAAAAAAAAAGAAAGAGAGCGCAATCAAAACTTGGGAATCTAATGCCCTGTTTGAAATAATTTAGAGGTAGTGAATAATATAAGAATTTCACTGTTAAGTTTTGGGCTAATTGTAACAAAGAGATCACATTATATTGTAATATTTTTTTTTCATGCTGCTATTATCAAATTTCATAATATAACATGTTTAGAATCAAATACTAATGATTTTTCATAATTAACCATAAAATTTTATAACTAATTAACCAAACCCCTCCAACTATTTATTTTTATTAATAATAATTTTGATATTTCATAAAAATAATTAATTTTAGCCAACTTTATTAATTCATTAATTTATATAAAATTGTTGTGTGTTTATAATAAAAATTAAGAGGAGTATCACATTTTAATTAAAATTCAGTATATTAAGTTTGCTCGGATAACAGGCAAGACCCCTTCACGGAAACTCACGAACCACCCTAGTACCGGGAAAACGGGTCGGCCCGTCACGGGCTCGGGCTTAACGGGCCCGGCCCGTTTAAGTCCGAGTTCTAAAAATCACTCATTTTTTTCAAGCCTGGCCCGTGAGATAACGGGCTCGGGCCGGCCCGCGGGCTTTTAGCCTTTTTAACTAAAATGAAATTTTTAAATTTTTTTTGCATATTTTATCAAAATAATAAAAATAAAACAATAAAGTTACTAATAAAAGATATAAATATAAATAAAATTAACTCACAAATATAAACATCATCATGTCTAAACATATATCACAGTGTAATAGAGTCTATTGAATAAACAAACTAAATAGAGGACAGACGTAAACAATTAAATAAGCACTAAGTTCAGTAGATAATTACAATGTAAATGATCTGGTTTAATTATCAATAATTAACAAAAAAGTTTAACTAACAAACATAGTATACATAAAGAATAATCATTTGTCATATCGATAAAAAAGAAAAGAGTCCATCATCTTTAGTTCTAAATTTGTTTCTAACTATAAAAATGATATAGATCTTTATTTTAGTTCAAAAGATTTTTTGATCAATTATATTTCAAGTATAAAAAATATGGGAGAATAACAAATAAAGACCATAAAAATTACGCATACAGTATTTTAACAAGTTTTGACAACTTATAAATAACAATATATTTTTGTGAATATGTTTAGTTTTAAATTTTACAATTTTCACGTTTTTTTGGTTATTTTTCCCACAACTATAATTATTCCTTTTTTTTTTGTGAATGCTATCTATGTGAACAGTTGGAATAAGTAAAATTAAGATTATGCTATGTCTAAAATGTTAGGGTTTCTTTTTTTAAGTTAAGAAAAAAATATAAAAATTAAAAAAAAAATAGCGGGTCTAAACGGGCCGGCCCGCGGCCCTACAGGGCCAGCCCGTTTATTTTTCGGCCCTACAGGACTGGTCCTTTTAAGCCCGACTTCCCTTTCAAGACTTCAAAATACAAACCCGGTCCTCGAGTTAAACGGGCTTAAACGGGCTCGGCCCGACGGGCTCGGCCCGTTTTCCTCTAGGCCACCCCACCCCGCAAGAAACGTAGTGAAAGCAGAAGAACTTGAGCTGCAAGTAATAAGGAATAACCAAACAAAAAAGTCGACGTGGCCATTACGAATGGGGGCCAATCACCCCATCATTCCCATTCACCACGAGTCAACCAGTCACCAAGTCTATTAAAGTATTTTAAAAAAAAAGGAGAAAATTTAGAAAAATACCCTATAAATTTAGAAATGACAAATCAGTGATTAAAATTTATAAAATATTAAACCAGTGCCCTTATATATTTTGAAATTTTGAAGCGTTGGAAAAAGAGACATCACTACCCCATATCTTTTTTTCTAAATGGCATCTCATCACCCTCGCTTGTGCGTATGCTTTCTTGAGACAAATTTAACCCATGAAATGTAACAAATAACTAATAAAGTACTGTATATATTCCAAAAAATCCAACTGTGAAATTTTGAAAAAGAAATGAGTTATCATTTTCTAAACAAGTGTTTTAAATAGCGAATGAAATACAATAAATGTGATAGCTCAACTAGCTTAGGGTGTGTTTGGGTGGCACCCCAAACCATGGTTTGGGGAATAATCTACCCAAACACCCCCTCCAAAAACCAAAACCATGGTTTTGGGTCAAAACCATGGTTTTGGAAAAAGCAAAATTTTTTTGCTTTTGGAGAAAGAAGGGAGAGTGTGATGGCCTATATGATATGTATCTTGTTATTTTTTTATAAACATATTTTTTTATAAATATATTTAATCTTATATTTTATAAATATATATACACATTAATTATTTATTAATTATATTATCTTATGTATTATTAATTATGTTGGTAAAAAACATATTATTAACAATTTTATTCCTTCAAATTAAAATATATCATAAAATCTATTTTTCTGTAATTATCATATTAATTTATGTCTTTTTTTTAGTAATTTGTATATATAAAAAGTGCTTCTGATAACAACTATCCAAACACTCTCACTTCTCAGAATCACTTTTTTACAAAATCTATTCTTCACAGAATCTAATTTCCCCAGAATCTATTCTCTAGAATCACTTTTTCAAACCACGGTTTGGTTTCATCCAAATACACCCTTAGTTGTACTTTTGTTATATTGAATCCAGTTTTCATTAAAAAAAAGTACAATAAATATTTAGTTTATTTTTCATTAATTACTTATTACACTTTATTCACAATTTACTATACTTGATTAATAAATAGCAACAAATTTCACAAATTGATGTTTCGGGATATTTACGATATTTTATTAACTATTTATTATATTTCATAAATCAACTTTACTGAAAGAAATCACATCCCCGGACACTGGAGTTTTAACAATTGATCATTGACGAGAGACAAAAATGAAGAGGTGACATTAAAAAAAGTGGCAATATCATAAAAATACAAACATTTTAGGTTTTTTTTGGGTATAATGGACTAATTTAGAATTATAGAAATTTGAATAAATGATTTTGTTATTTTCATATTTTCAGGGTATTTTTTTCAGGGGTTTTTCTTAAACTATTATGGTATTCATGGCTCATTCTTTTTCAGATTTTGTATATCATTTTTAATATTTTATTATATTTAGTTTCCTTCTATTTTTTATTTTTAAAAATGCTTTTAATCATGGGAAAATTGAGGATGAATTCCCATTTGAAAACTTTATCGGAGAATGGTCCCTAAAATTTTGTGAAAGACTGAGGTCCTTAAAAACAATTAAATATGCTCAAGAAATGGCCATAATGCTCTTAGCAAAGATAGATTGCACATAAAGGAGCTTAATTGTATTTAAAGAAAGATTGTTTGCATGTGCGGAAATTTATTTGCACATAATATATTTTGAACAAAATAAAAGATAGATTGCATGTGAGAAAATTTAGTTACACTTAAAGGAAGATACTGTACACATATAGAGATTTAATTACACATAACATATTTTGAATAGAATATAAGATGGATTGCATAGAAAGAAACTCAATTACATTACGTGAAAAATGCTTTGCATGTATAAAAATTAAGTTACCAAAAAAAAAAAACATTCCAAACAAAGAAACTTAGTTGCAATTAACAGAATATATTTTGTACATACGAAAGTTCAGTTGCACAAGAAAAGTTGCGCGACTGAACTTCCATTCTCTTATGTAACTAAACTTCCATAAGTGCAAATCATTCCCTTAGTGCAATTAAAGTTTCTTTACATGCAATAGATTCTAATTTTTTTTGTGCAACTAAATTTTCATACATGCAAAGTATCTTCTTTTTAAGTGCAACTAAATTTTTTTGTGTGCAATGTATCTCTCATTCTAATCAAAATATGTTATGTGCAAGAACTTCCATATATGTAAAGTATTTTCCTTTAAGTACAATTAAAATTTCTATATATGTAATTTATCTTTATTAAGCACAGATTTCTAAGGGCCATTTTCCAATAAATTTTTCAAACGAGGATTTATCCCCAATTTTTTCTTTAATCATTTTAATTAAATTTAAATTACTATATATTTAAATTAAAGTTGCAAAAGAGCCAAAGAGGACGCAGTGGCTGGAAATTGGAAAACGGGACGCAAGTCAGCAGCAAGCGGCCGGGTCCGCGCTTTTACACCTTGTTTATTATTCTCTGAATTTCCACTTCAGCAATCCCGTTGGCCGCCTCGCCCTCCTTTTCCTTTCCTCGCACCATCGTGTTCATGGATGTATCTCTCTCTTAATAGCACTTTCCATGGAAGATAAGAACCACCTTCCTTCTCTTCCTCCTAACTACGTCACTCTCTCTCAGCTTCAAGAGCGCTGGCTCAAGCAAAAGGAGAAGGAAAAGCAACTCCAAGAGAAGCACCAGGAAGAGCAACACCAAAAACAACAGCAACAAATCCCCAAGCTCTCCCAACATAATCCTCGTGAATATCACCGAGGACGACGACCCAAAACCCAGCAAAAGGCATGGCAAGCGATTCCAGCTTGTCTAACCGGTGCTGGGCATGCCGCCGTGAAACGTCCATCGGCGGAATTTGGGCCTAAGAATCCGATCGTTCAGGAAAGCAATCGCGTCGTTGTCGAGGTCAGTCGTGAAACGAATGAGACTGTGGAGGCCGAGGCCGATGTCGGAGATGGAAATGATGGCCAGGATGGCAAGAAAAAACAACGGAAGAAGAAGTGGAAGAGGGGGAAATGGAAGCCTAGGGCAGGTGAGGAGAAGAAAAAATTGGCTGAAGATGCGACGGAATCTACAATCGTGGGGAACAAAGAGGTAGAAAATTCCGATTCTCAGAGGGAAACCAAAATTGAATTGAATGGTAGTAAGAGTAATAATTTGATGAATGAGGGTGAAGAAGAATTGGGGATTATGTCAATGAACCCTGAGAATGAGAAGCAGAATAGCAGAGTTAAGACACATGATAGTTCCCGTGGCTCTCGGAGGAATAACGGAGGCCGCAATGACAGGATCGGAGCTTTTGGTAAGGCAGGCAAGAAGAAGAAAAAATTGGCTGAAGATGCCGCGCAATCTACAATGGTGAGTAACAAAGAGGTAGCAAATTCCGATGTTCAGATGGTCGATGGCAAGGGGGAAACCAAAATTGAATTGAATGGCAGTAAGAGTAATAATCTGATGACTGAGGTTCAACAGAAATTGGGAAGTGTGTCACTGAACCCTGAGAATGAGAAGCAGAATAGTAGAGTTAAGACATATGATAGTTTCCGTGGCTCTCGGAGGAATAACGGAGGCCGCAATGACAGGATTGGACCTTATGGTAGGGCAGGTAAGGAGAAGAAAAAATTGGCTGACGATGCCGCGCAATCTACAATGGTGGGTAACAAAGAGGTAGCTAATTCCGATGTTCAGACGGTCGATGACAGGAGGGAAACCAAAATTGAATTGAATGGCAGTAAGAGTAATAATTTGATGACTGAAGTTCAACAGAAATTGGGGAGTGTGTCACTGAACTCCGAGAATGAGAAGCAGAATAGCAGAGTTAAGACATATGATAGTTCCCGTGGCTCTCGGAGGAATAACGGCGGCCGCAATTACAGGACTGGACCTTATGGTATCAAAATTCGTGCTCATGACGTTCAATGGCAGAGGGTTGATCAGAAAATTTGGGTTAGAAAGAGTGAGGATTCTAATGGTAACGTTGATCGCAATGAAATATCCAGTAAATGAAATGTTGTTTTAGTAGTGATACTGGTGAGTCTTCAGAGTGATTGGTATGCAAGGATGTCAATTAGTACTATGTAGCCTGGAATTTGGCCCATTTTATAGCTTGCTTTGGTAGCACTCACAAACTCAACATATTTTTCCTCTTTTACCCTTAATTTTTTCTAACCTTGTAAACACTCAAGTTGATCGCATCCTGTTATGGGCTTCTTTTGCTCTCTTTGTACCCAATGCTCGCACATTTTGAACTGTTATGATGGGCAGAGTTATCTTTTAATTGATGAGCATTGAAGTAGTGGTCTTATCCTGAGTCCAATAAACGTGTGACTCTTGCTGTTGGCGTGAGAGTTAGGGCCATCACTATCTTGGTTGAAATAAACTGAAGACTGTGATGTTCTGGAAACAGATTAACTTTATACATCACTTGACTCTCGTGCAGCAGTTTTTTAGGTCTGTATGATCAAGTCATTGTTTTTGCACGCCCTTTGCCTTACCTCGAGCATCGTAATGTAAAGACACAGTAAATTCCTATTGAGAAGTAAAATACTTAAAAGCATTAGTAGCCATTTCATTTCATTTCTATTCATTTTTGTTTTATTTCATTTGAACAATCCATGGGATCTGAATGTTGGGTGAATCAGTGGGAGGCTTGCCTTGTTCTATGAAGTTGCACGGCCGTCTTCAGTTCATTGATCACTAAAGACATTGCTGGAAAATTCCACTTATGCAGTGCAGACGTTAGGAGTAATGAACTCTATGCTTTCCTCAGGCCAAATGGGCTAAAACAGGATCTTTATCCTTTCCTGTACAGGCTTGATGAGCTCTTTCTTTGCTCTTGAACCACCTGCATTTATAAATATAAGAAGAAATACCTCTGATTCTTAATATAAAATATAAGATATAGTTTCTTGTTAGGACCGGAGGTAGTAATTACTAATATCTCATGAGACATGAGCCATTATCTTCGGTGCCATTTTCCTTCAAGGTAAGAGAACGCACAGAACATTGAACTTTCTTTATAAGTTGGATTAAGTCTGGCATGGGCACCCAATAAATGAACGGGACACTTTAATCCTTAGGCTTCGAGAATCATGCTATCGTTTTGTAAATGTTTTAAATTATGACAGGGGACAGAAGCTGTCCACGTTGCTCAAAATTATCAATGGCCCTACTTCTTTTAATGGAAGAACCAGAAAATTTCAAGAGCAAAGCAACCTGTTGCCAATAATACATTCCTTGGTATCATTTGTCTCATAATTAAGTGGGTCTACATGAATTGATATCAACATATGGATATGTTGATTAATATGTCAATATCAATCAATTAATTGAGATTAATTAGAGCTAATCAATCCCCTGGCAGGCTTGTAACATCAAAATTCTGTAGAGAGTGAAGGATCATATGGATGTGCGAAATCAGGCATTCAATTACGATTGGCTCTGTCCAAATTAGAAAGTCCTCCATTCGGGGTATCAACATCTAGAGCAGAAATTCATGAATCACACTGAAGATCAATGAATCATGTCTTGTGTCTACTGCTCTTCACACCCCCTATAACAGGTACCCTCTTTGAATTACCATATGAATGAGAAGTGACACAACAAATTTGCATTTCTTATCTTTGGTTGGGCAGAATAAACCCTAGTTTCCCGATAACAAATGCATAACAGTCATAATGTCTACTGTAGTTCACTTGTTTGCTTTCTTCAATGACTCGGGCTCATCCATGGGCAAACAATTACCAGTCATGAAATCTCTTCACTGAAACTTAACTCTGTGCAGAACCTCCAGACGAGTTGCTGTCATTTCTCCTAAGATATGTCTCTTCTTTGCGAGCCAGTAGTTATAAGAAATGGCCTTAATCATAGTTGTCTTTACTTAAAGCACGTCCTTATTCATACCTCTTGGATAAACCAACAAACAATCCAACCAAAGAGTGATAAGTTTCTGTTGAAAAAATTCAGGATGAAGAGTTAAATCTGACCCAAGCCCAGGTAAACTTTAGCAAAATTACTCAATAAGAACATGTGATTAAGACTCTCTTCACATTCAGAACATACACGCAATTTTTTTGATGACATTTCTGCAAAACATCAGCTTGTGGAATAACTCAGTTACTAAATAATTTTCACAGGAATAACCATAATATGTGAGAGCTTTAATTTTATGAAAGCTCCCCTAAGGAAAAAGCTGTTATCATCCAGAAAACTTCGATTAAGTTTTTCTGCTTTTGATCAACCATCAGCAACATTATATGCACCTTCACAAGATTTCCCCCAAATCATCTTACCCTCCTTACCAAAACCCACATAACGAAATCGAAGTCATCTCGAGTTTTTCTCACGCTTTCAGCTCTAACATGATTCCAAGCTTAGACACATTCCGGCCGTACCAGGAATACATCAGTTGCTAGCTCCTCAATTTTTCTTTTTCTTTTTCTTTTTTTCCAGATTATCAGGAGTATTTCTTGGCATCCACTTGAATCTGCTTTGTGAACTAGTTTTTTTATTCCCGTTACCAACTGTCCAATGTCAATGTCAAACTGTCCGAGATTAAGTTGTTCTTTTTGACTTTAGTACATTATTGGACCAATCTACGTGCTTGAACTAATTTACTTTAGTTAATTAATTTACCTTTGACTTGAGGGCCATTGCCAAATGGTTGGTGCTTTTGACAACTCTAAAGAAGGTTTAAAAAAAAACTCTTCAACTCAACCTCGTTATTAGCATGAAAATGAGAGCATGTGTGTGATGACGATCTACATTAAGTATGAGACATGCAAGTATGCAACAAATACCCAAAAAAATGGTTAAAAAATTTTGAAAAAGGAACGAGGTGATGCTGATGATGAAGGGCTCGTCAGCAGATCAAAACGGCGGGATAGGGTAAGCACATGGCTCCTTATACCTATTTTGTCTCGCTGACCTGTGACTCTGTCTCTGAGGGATTGTTCGGCCTGTAGCTTTATAATTATTATCACACGCCTATCATCCGCAAAATATAGTTGTACCTCCTTTCGCCGCTTTCTCATTCTAGTCGGAACTCTCCCTCCTATTCTCTGTTCTCTTCCTCTTGGTTTTTCAACTACTTGGATCATATTTGTTTTGTAAAAAAAATCAGGAAAATATTCACAAGGCGGAGAATTAGATTAAAGAAAAGAAATGGGGGTATAGCTAATAGTCTATAATGAATGCCAGTACCATTTGCGTTATATTATAGTGTCCTTTGAATCATTGTTTGTTCAGGGTGGGTGGGCACTGGTACAACCATATTCACCTCAAAACCTGTAACGTTAGTTCATAAGTTTACCATGGTTCGGTCGGCAATTCGCTTTAGCATCTCAGAGTCCCCATTGTTGTTTCAGATAGAATTGAATTCTGGTCTCTTTGAGTGGAGTATTGAAGGCCAGACAGCTTTTACTAAGAATAGCAGTGCCTGTCAATTCATATCAGTACCAGTTTTCCTACCTAATTTCGCTTTAATAATTGGGACCATAGCTATATATCTAAAATTCATAATCATCCATCAACACCAACTTTTACGTCTCTTGGTAAGTAGTGGTCACATTCCTCGAGAGAAATTGAAGCTCAAGATCTGATTTTAATCTGTGTGATAGGACGAGATTGTTTGTCCTGGTTGTGAAAGAGAAAGAAAGTTGAAGAGAAAACAGGAGAGGGGAATCTCTTTGCAAGAGTTTGAATTTCCACAGTCGGTGGTTTTGGCACTGTTTCAATTGGCAATCTTTGACCTTGGCTTCATAAGGGGACCATTGTATCAAAGCTGGTGCTACAGGGAAAAAGAAAACAGCCCATGCTGCTACTCTAGTGGTTGCATCATCACTGAAAGGCCCTATGCACACACACTTTCTTTCTCATTCTATTATTTTACACCCATTTTTTTTGTTTTCTTCTTAATAAATAGCAGAAATATAATATATATATCCCATGGGGCTGCTGCAAGTTAATTGGTTCATGACTTGTTTGTTCTTATCTTGTGGTGTCAAACAGAGGAGCCTAGAAAAGGGGAGGGTGAGATTTAAGTAGAGATTCTGCATATTGATTTCTCAGAAGTGGTTGCATATTAGAAATAATTGAGATTGATAACCTCAGTGCTTAACAGAGCAATATCGTGAACCAACCAGCAAAGGGACATAATCTATTAAAAGGGAGGGACCAATCCGAGTGCATGAGACGAAAATCATATAGTGGCCCCGTTATCTTAACATAAAGTCACATTTCATTGTCACTTCGCTCACAACAAAGGGGAGAAATAAATGAAATGGAGATTCACTGGCTTCTAGGCATGTGGTAGGGTCATTGAAAAAAAACTAATTGAACACAGAAAGATCAAAATTTCTAATAATATTACCACGTTTCCCATCACAGCCGACGTGGGATCGGTTTTTACTGTTCATAATTTCCACCCGCAGCATGGCATACAGTGTCAGATTCCTAGGCCAGCTTCATAAGGTCACATTATTTTCCAGTACAAAGGCACAGATATAGGAAGAGTAGAGCTATTTTACTGGGGCCTATATGCGTTGGAGGTACTATATGGATTTTCTACCTTTTGGGTGAAGTGAGTTTTTTGTCACTTAAACAGCAAATTGCAGATAACGGGTATGTGTATCTGATTGTACTCCTCTCATGCATGTTCATCATGTATTTTCTACCTTTTGGGTGAAGTGAGTTTTTTGTCACTTAAACAGCAAATTGCAGATAACGGGTATGTGTATCTGATTGTACTCCTCTCATGCATGTTCATCATGTATTTTCTGTACTATGTCCTTTCAACTTGAGTGGTTCATTTTCTTCATAAAATCCGACCATTGCATTCATGTATTTATATTTAGTACGGTAACTAACTAAATGCTACTAGATGAACTTTGAGCAAGAGATTTACAGGGTGGTAAAGATTTAGAGGTAAAGAAAAGAGTATGTTGGTCGTTGCATACACAGAATATTTTCACAGGGAAAAAGATCAACAAAAATGTAGGAGAGGGAGCACCAAGTAGCATTTGTTGTGGAGTCAATTTGTGGGAGGCCTGACTTTTAATGTAAAGAAGACGGTAATCATGAAAGTATCATTAGTTGTGACTTCAGCAAATCAGGATTAACTTTAGTTTATTTTTTTGCTTTTTGATAGGACAGCACTATCGTTTTTATGGAAGCATGGTAATGCCATAATTGTTGAGGAAGAGTGATGAGTGATGACCTCTTTCGTCTTTCTCATCTCTCTCTCTCTCTCTCTCTCTCTCTCACTATCTACGCAAAATAGACACTATAGTACACACATGCACACAAGGCCAACTGGCAATATTGATTCATTCGCATAAAGATAAAATAAGAAGGCGAAACGATTGAGCATAAGGATACAAGGAGTTTAAAATTATAGTGAGAATCATTTGTTCTCCCCCCCCCCCCCGCGGGTCTTTTTTTTTTTTTTGGGTATGTTGATGAGTTTTCTTTTTCTTTTTTATTTATTTTCTTCTAGAGTTTCCCTCCTCTACATATACTGAGAGGAATATCATTACAAAGCACCAAAGGAGAGAGAAGAAAGGGAGGAAAGCAGAGCAGCTCTAGCTCTGAGCTCTTTTTGCATGATCGCCCATGGTTGATTAGTGAGAATCTGAAAAGAAATACTCGTCTAGTTGAATGGATATATCAGCTCCACAATACAATAGTGCGAGTGAATCTGGTTGGACCCATTACTTGGACCAATCCGCTGCTTCTGGAAATTATTTCCATATGAGTGGTGGAGTTGTAGAGGACGAAGAAGATTTGTCCATGGTCTCTGATGCTTCTTCTGGGCCTCCAATCTACCATGATGATGATGAATGCTGCTATGAAAATTGGTATCCCAATCATTCCTCTTCCCAACACACCAAGAACTCCAAAGAGAAGAAGAAGAAGACCGTGAAAGAATCTAGCATGCATCAACAGGCTTCACACCTTGATGATGACACTGCTAGCTCCCCTGTTTTTAGCTGTTCCAAGGCAAGTCAATGGACTGATTTTCTTTAATCATTGACTTAATATGCTTTTAAAAAAAAAATCATTTGCAACAGATTAAAATCGTGCTTAATACAGTCTTCTTCTTATTATTATGGAACAGAAGAAAGCCAATTTCCCAAGAAATGGAGTGGTGGAGGATGCATTGGAATTCTCTCAAGGTTTTTCTGCAACAAGAATGAAGGTAGCACATGCAGTTCCATTATTGATCTCTTGGTTTCATTATGTCTATAACCATTGACCCACTTTCGGAGTTTATAATGTTGAGGTAAATTTGTCGGTGTTTCAGCAGGTAAAGCCCAAAATCCAGAAGCATTTTAGTTTCTTTGAGCGCTCTCTTGCTGGAAAACAAGCTTCAGGAGAACCAGGTGATTTCACTGACATATAGTCCTCCGGTATTTAATATAAAACCTAATTGTTGAGTTAATTTTGGTCTTAAATATAAAACATATTTATCATATTTATAAATTTTTTCTAAATTACTTTAGGGACACTCCATCAATCATAATCAAATAGAAGAGAGAGAGAGGATATTAAGGAAGATGATTATAGTATTTTAAGAAAAATATGTCATATATCTTATAATTAATTAACTTACCTAATTTCTTTAATCTAATCAAATTAATTAAATATGTCTTATATTAAAAACTGGATGAGTACTATTTTTCTTACCTCTACAAGCAAGGCCTCAAGACAATGAACTTAGCAAGTAACTGTTTTGTTGGGGTTTATGTATCTTCCTTTTCAGGTGGATTTAGTGAAGGAAAAAGGAAATGAGTTTTTTTCTTCTGGGATTTTTCTCTGCTGCTGCGTTGCTGTCAAAAGACATTCTAGAGGACGTCAAAGGAGAAGCCATTCAACGTCAAAAGAAACTCTTTCATTACTCTTTTCCCCTTTTTTTCCCTACCCCAAAGAAAATAAAATATTTAGTTTGGCGTAGTAGAGTCCTTTGATGCTGCTACTGCAGTCGGGGAAAAAAAAGATTAAAACCCCAAATGAGGATTTCATCTTCAATTTCTCTGTTGTCATTAAGTGTCAAGTTCGTTCTTTTAGCCATTAAGTTCATCCCATAATTCTCTAAAATCACAACTGAATCGACAAAACATGGAAGATTCGAACCAAGAAGCTTTTTGCAAATGTATTATTTTTGTGAGACAGGAAGGTCACCACGAAGCATATGAGAGAAACCCAAAAGCCGAAGGGCTTATGGAAAAGAAGTGGCCCACTTTATTAAGTGACACCAAGTGCCAGCCTAGCTCACAAGTGCTCTGGGATGGTAAATTTGGTAAGGAGAAGCTTGGAGATAGATAATGAAACCAACACAAAAGCTTCATTTTCAGCCAAAAAGTGCAACCCCACCACCATCTGATAGCAACCCACACACAATTTGATCCATTCGTGACACTGCTTCAATTATTAGTTTTGTTTTTGGTTGCAACTGTATATCCAACTAAAATCTTTATTGCGAGTGTTTTCTTATTGGTCTTCGTTTGGATCTATAAGCAAAGAACTTGAATAATAAACGGACAGTGAATCCTATTTTCTTGTTCCTTTTAAACTGTATCTGTAGATTTAGATATGATTAAGGATCTTATGGTTTTTTCACGAGGTTGCATTCAGAGGTAAGAAATGAATTATACTTTGAACACTATACCGTTAATTTAGTTCATGTGGGCTCCCTTCAATTTGTATTTCAGACCAAGGCCTTGCTTTGGTAGTGAAGAAGTAAAAAGAAAAAAACAAAGAGAAATAGTAGGACTCCGTCTCTTATTATAAAATCCTTTTAATTAAATTGTACGGTTTAAAAAAACAGTTAAAATTAGTTAAAAGTAATTAATATGTAACAAATGTAAATAGGTAGATGTGAGAGAGTAATAATGAGATAAATGAAGAAAGAGAATGTATTAAATGTATTAAACTAAGGGGTAAAATAAGTAACAATATATTAAATGTTCAGACAAACTCAAAAAGAATATTATAAAGAGAGATAAACCTATTCAAAAAATTGGATCTTATAATAAGAGACGGAGAGAGTACATGACAGAGAATAGAAATGGACAGAAAAAGGAAATGGGCTATCTCTTGCTTTATTTGCTATATATGAATAAAAGCAAGAAACATTAATTTTCTTTATTTGTTTTTGTTAAAAACAATTACGATCCTTCTATATTCAAGGCAAAGTCATGCGTTGACGATTCTATATTTTTAAAATTTAACAACGAAAACCTTTTGATTTTTACTTTTGTGTAGATAGTCCTCCTCTAATCAATTATTCTAACATTTCAGAAATCTGAGCATGAAATGTTAGAAACAAGTCAAACTGTCTTCCGCCCATTGGATTTGTGCACTATGCATTTAACCAAATGGTCAGAGGCTCGAAATGTTCGAAACATAGAAGCTTTGAACCAGTTGTGCGTAAATAACTACTAAAATCTAGGTTAATAGCAATTTTAAATGTCTTAAATTTTAAACTATATACGAGTAATTTATATGTATTTATTTACTGAAATTTATATTTTCTTACTATTCATATATAAATAATTTTTTTGGTTAAATTTGTACAGGTTTCAAATGCTATTCACCGTCTATTATTTGAGTGAAAATTACCGACCGTTAAATTATTGCAATATTTAAGATAAATTGTGGTTTTAAAAATGACATTCACACATCATGGCCATTATGTACGGACAACCAACGATGTACACGTGACGTCATGTCATTGTCAATTCAATACTCCATTCCGGTTCAAAAAAAAAAAAGGAAAAACACCCCATCCCCATCCTTCCATTTTTCTTTCTAGCTCATGTTTTTGACGTTAAAATTCATTTAATTTTTATTTTGATTATAAATATAAAATTTTAATCTTTTTTATCTCTCATACTTATTTATTTTTTTAAAAAAATAATTTTATGATAATAGTAATTCTAATTAATACACTTTATTAGTAATAATATTTAAAAATATATTTATTATAAATAACTAACTTAACTAGTTTTTTAATCTATTCAAATTAGTTAATTAATTCTTATATTAAAATCAGAAATAGTATTCAAATATAAAATAATTAAAAGAAACATGCCCCCATACATCTTCACCTTTTCTTTTCCTTTCATTTCCTTCCTACTAACAAGCCATCAACGGCATTACGCGGCACAAGTTCCTTCGGATTAAGTATGCCAGTGTTCTTACGATATTCAGGGTCTTCTGACACCATGCATCTTTCAGCGATGAAAATAGGAGGCTCAAGAATTTTAACAAAAGGGTAAGTCAAAAATTTACATGCACATTAAATCGTCAAAGTCGTAGATTAAAAGAATTATGAGCTACAGCTATTACTGATGGGGCAAAATTAAATTATAAGGATACATAAGAAATACATAATATTGGAACCCAGCAATGGAGAAAAAGGAAAAAAAACTGAAACAAAACAAAGGGAATTTTATCCCCACTTTGCATCTCTCTCCAGCTGAGACCACGTCCTATGACGGAAGATGTTATGTGCCAAAAATATGTCTGTGGACTGGTTGGGCTTCTAAACTTTTAACCACTTCTAACCACGGCTTGTCTAAGAATAAGACGGAACTTTTCGAAAGATGGGCTAAAAATAAAACAGGATCCCTGAATTCCAAAATTTCAAAATTCTTCCTATGCCTGTGTTTCCTCTTGAGATAATTTTGTAAATTTTTGGCCATTGAGTCTTGAGCATAGAATAGATCACCATCATCTTGCTCCACTGGCAATCCAAAGTCGATCAAACACATTGCCCTGAAAATAGAATTAAGTTTGTTTCAAACATCGGGTATACGGAAGCCAAAAATCTATAAACATATATTTAACTTTTAAATTATGTTCTAATTTCAAGCCAGTCACTCTAACTATCATAAATTTGAAAGCAAACGCTCCCAACGTTCATAATCTGTGCTTTGTAGCAAAGAAACCTATGAACTGAACTCCCATAACTGTGCTGAGCTTTCATCATAAGAAACTACAGAAAAAATAATAGTTGTAGATAAGTATAATGTCGTTACCAAATTAAAAGAAATTCTAAAACATCCAATTTGTCAGAAATATCAATGTAAGCATGTGAGCTTGGGACAATTTTTTTTTTTAAAAAAAAAAGTCCTTTGGCGTAACCTAGAAAAGCCATTTATTTTGGCATCTACAATGTATATTCATTCAGTCTTTTGTTACGCTGATATATCATTTTACCTAAAACACATCTGCATTATACATGTGCCCATCCTAAAAATTTACAAATGGAAAACATAAATGAACAATTAATACATCAGTTTTCCGTTAAAAAATGCAGTGACTAATTATTGTGAAAAATCGATTGATTATCATTTAAAAAAATTAGTTTTCCAATACTCCAAACACAATTGTACGACACATTTTACTCCTCATTCAATTTGGTAATTTCATCAACCTTTATCAAACAACAGAGGTGCATACCTGGCACTGTAAACAACAACGGAAGATGAAGTTGCAGAGGGAGGGAATGAAAGCCCAATAACTTCACCAGGAAATTCTTGGAATCTCTTTGGAAGAACAAATGAGTGCCTCATTGACCATTCTCCCAACTGCTTGGCCTCTACATCCAACGCATACACTTGATTTGAGGAAGTTGTAACTATAAGTACGTTGCTGTTCTGGGGAGAAAATCCACCAGCAGTAACAGAGGCGCCATCTAATCTAGAAATGAACCAGTGCTGCCTGGGGAAAAAAAAATTGAATTCCCAATCATTATGTGAATCTCAGAAAAGTCAAACGCAAGCATTTCCATATCCCAGTTCCCAAAAAGCAAAAATTTAAAAAAAAATGATAATGGACCAACATGCACGTGAATCCTGAACATGTGTTTTGTTCGCTTTCTTAAGCAAGATGACCTAGCCAATTACAATGATGTGACTACAAGAACAAATTTACTGATTCAAGGTTTAAAAGGCAAAATCATTAGATATTTAGTGGACAAAGTAATAAACCTTAATATCTCGAGATTGAATACATATACATCTCCAAAGCAATTCACAGCTGCCAGCCACTGCCCATCAGAGCTGGCAAACATCCTTGTTATGGGAGGTTCAGTCGGAGGTAACCCCTCATCTTGCATCTCACGGGATGGTGTAAAGACATGCACTAGTCCTGAGCCGCCCACGTCCACAATCTGTAACATTCAACAGGTAAAACTCTTTCAATAACCCACACGCTCATGTAGATACATAGTAGTCTAAATAGTAACCACATGCAAAAAGTCCACTCAAAAATATATTAGAAGCTTATTCTACAACCCCGCTAATTTGGCTTCATAAACATATATAGACACATATATGTCAACACTGTTCCCCGTGACGGAGGGTCCAGACTAGCAATTGATAAATGATAAATTGGATAACAAAAATAAATGTAAATTTTACTTCTGAACATCAACTCAGGTCCAGCACAGTACACAAAAATCTACAGTTCCTTAAAGTATCCCATTTTAGTATTTGGTGTTCAACCAAAAAGTGGGGTCTGATCTTGTAAACACTATATCAGCCACTCAACAGAAAATGGGATCAACATCAATAAGAAACCACTCTCTGAAGTGTAAGAGTTGCCACACTTTAAAGAAAGTTATGATTGAGTTTCAAAAGGACAGAATTTTAAGAGATAAGGTTTTGTGCTAGCTTACATATATCCTTCGATCATGCCCAGCTACTATCAACCGAGAAGAATCATGAGTAAAAATCATAGAATGAGCAAATGGTAGTCTACCAGGGAGTTGCCTTTTCCTAACACTCCATGTACTCCCCCCAATTTCAGGGCTCTTCAACTCAAATAGACTAGGCTTCACGTGATCAGAGTATGCAAACAGCACGCCTGAATCAGAAATAGCGCTGCAAATTATTTTCCGAGATGATTTGCTCTTGACTCGAGCAAGCAGATCACTTTTTGCAAAGCCACCAGAAGTGGGACGTGTAACGTCAGGGAAGATGCCTTTTTTGGGTTGTACAGAAAGAATATCTAAACAATGAGAAGACTGGACTAAAAGAATTGCTGATTGATTGGAGGCTGTTTTTGGCACTAGTTGAATGGGGACTCTCTGTGGTGCAGGGCAGATATCATGTGGAGAGAATTTAGTGAACTCTTTTACAGCATACGCAAAGAGCTTTGTGTCATCACCTGCGGATATCAGCATGGGAACACCCAAATGGGCCCATTTACGGTAACTAAAATCAATGGGTTTTTCCTGACGACGAGCTCTTTTAATCTTCTCATCTGGCAAGGGATCTGTCAAAAATCAGCATAGAAATATGTAAAGAATCAGCAAACAAAACTGAAACCAACATTTTTTTTTGGCATGCATAACAATGCATTGGTATAAACTGTCTCGAAAGAGAGTAAGATTTAAATCCATGGACAAACCTTCTCGACAAATTGGTACTGCCACAGTCAAGGCCCTGACATCATGTGTATGAGCCCTCACATAATCAACGTAAGTCCATCTCTTTATTACTGCTGGCGACTCAACACTATTGGATGACAACGACTCACTGGAGAGCTTATACAGGATAATCTTCATGATGGAATAAGTTAAACATGTATTATTATAATGTCACATGTTCCGAAAACTCAATATTAGATAACAGGACACCATAGGGAATAGAGGGATGGCAGCAGATTATAAATAAAAAGAAAATTAAAAAATATGAGATTATATGTATTCATGCATAAGAGGATAAGGATAACATCAAAATTCTTGAGACAATAAATATCCATCTCCTATCCACAAATATTACTTGTATTATTGTTATAGACATAACAGGATAAAACATCTGAAAGCTCTTGAGATCAGAAATCTCTAAAATATGCTTCATTCATGGAATATAGGAAGAGACTGTCAGATATAAAACAAAATACCGGCATCGGGTAAAATTTTGTAATGCAAGGAAGGGTGGAAAAAGGAAGAAAAGCAAGATAAAGAATAGACCCTTCATATTCAACTTAGCTCAAAAGAATGGGGGGTGACAGCAGCCAAATTATTTACTAATCAGTCATAGAGACTTTACTACCATCTTATGGACTACTTAAGCCCCAAAGCATAAGCTGTTAGGAGCTTTATTGATAAATATATCATCACTAACAGCGAACATTGTCTGGGATTTAAAGTTGGCAACAGGATAATCAGGTGAGCTGGGGTTGGCTATGAATAATTGAAAATTGCAAAAAAGGGTATTTGGATATAGGATCCCGTAATATTTAACATCGAGAGTTCTATTAGGTTTCCAGCATTCATATTTGAGGAGCAAAAAGATTTTTATTCTTGGTTGCCTTAATATGCCTCAGTCGTTAAGAAAATTGCCCTCGATTATAGTCATTGTTTGGGCAAATTATCACTTAATTTTGTTTAGTTAATTTCCCATGTGTGCTATCCTATCCTTGATCAGATACCCCTGCCAATGCTTTTGATCACTGAATCTATAAAAGGGTTTAATTACTTCAAACTCAAAGGGACTCTGACCATCTGATATGACAATACACCAGCTACAAAAACTCTTCTATGTTTAGCCAATATCTTTGGTCTTCACTGCCCTACATTTTTATCAAAAGCGTAAATAACTAACAGCTAATAGTTTGCATAACATTGACTTGATACAGGATATAAGCATCAATAAACTGTTTTTTCAGAATAATAGTAATGAATATTACTTGGTTAAGTTTCATAACAAAGATCAAAATATGCAACTCCATACCTTGCCATCAGAGCCAGCAGAGAACACCCTGTTATGAGTTGGAGCTGCAGCGAGCGCATTTACATCTCCCTTGTGCAATGAATGTGCCTGTGAGAGAGTTCCTTGTTGGCCGTCCCAAAACTGGACGCTACCACTGCTGTCTGCACTAACCAGGGTCCCACACCTAAAGAACAAACGATCGGACAAAAAAAAGTTTGCACATAAGCAGATAGCGGGATACTAAAGTTAACAATGTACTAATGGTCAGAATACTATGTATTCATATTAGATATTCAGTCCAAGAGATGTCTTCAGCGTTACCTTAAGGACAGTAACGACCAAATACAAAGTTCAGGTCCACTGCCCAGACCTCCAAGCCCAGCTGTAATCCTATAGATTTCACGACCCAATGCAGCATCCCAGCATCGTATCAAGCTGTGAGGGAAAAAACATGGTGGTAAAGAATTGAAAACATATTTTACCAACTAGTGCTGAAAATCAAAGCGCCAGATGATCATGCTACTTCGTCTACTTCAGTGTTTGCAGAATGGTTCACCCATACACATGTATTAGCAGAAACATAGATGCGGACACTGTCCTAGAACTTTCACGAGATCATTAGCCATCAACACGTACCCATCACTACTTCCAGAATATATGAAATTTGCGTTGGTACTCCAAGTCACACTCAAAACTCGTCCTGAAACAAAATGGAACTCACTTAATAGAAACTTAGCAGAATTGATAGAGAATCTGCAGCAAGCCTCATAACTCAGGAGAAGAAATCTCACCACTGACCCGAGGCAACGATTTTGTACACATGAACTCATCTGTGTCTGAGATGGCATATATTTGCACACATCCATCGTCACAACCAATTGCTACACGTGGATATTCGACTACCTTAAGAGAATTAGATGGCTCAGAATCTTCTTCGCTGTCACTAGTTTCATGCTCATCACGACCATTGTCTTTGTCATAAGTCAAATATCCATTCCCCATGTGATCAGGCTCTGCATTAGTATTAACTAAGTCGCTTTTAGATGGTGCCAGTGCCATTTGCCAGATTGAGACGCCAATTGAACATAGCACAGTCTGCAAAAGCATTATCAGATTAGTCATAAAGTGACGTATTAACTATAACCAGTGCATCGACTAGGCTTTTGGAAAACATTCTTTAGGTTACAAAATGAAGCATACAACGACAATTTAAATAGATCTGACGCCTCGGGGCAAACATTTCACTCTCCTAAGATTTTCTTTTAAGTCCCGGAAATACTTCAAATTTGTGAACCAAGAAACTGCATCAAGATGCCACGAACTTTAAGTTTTAACTTAATTAACTACCACAACGAGACAAGAAGTATACACGCGGTTTTTCAAGCTTACCGTCGAGTTGGTTTTTTTTTTTTGGGGGGGGGGGTCATCAGACCGTGAGGGCCAAATGCAAAATTATAAAAGCCAAACGATATATAGCTGGTAGAATGTCAAAGAAAAGCATCTATCGCACCTTCTGGGACAAGTGAGAAAGATCCCACTTACAAACTGAACCATCGATGTTAGATGAGAATAATCGACCGAATGCCATTTCCTGTGAACCCCCGTGGCACCAAATAAGTGAGGATACTCTTACATTGGGATCTCCATGAATAGTCTGCAAGTGCCAAGCTAAATGTATCAGGAACTTGTAGGAACTGAACTAATAACAGTAATCGAATTAAACAACTCCTGAGCTAATAAAAATAATCCAAGACTAGGAAGAAGCTGCTTTACCAACTGACGGTGCCAGCCGACACAACCGGGGGAGACAAGCCAAATCTCCAAGGAGCCATCTTCGCGGGCAGCGGCGACCTGCGAACCATCGACGCTGGTGGCTAGAGATACTACCGGAGAAGGCTTCCAATCTATTAAATTTGAACTGATTCTATGAAGTTCAACCATTCTATTACAGTAGTCGAATCACTATCAAGAGAGCTGCAACACTTTCCTTGTATGTTCGTTGCGTGGGTTTGTATGTTCGCTCCGGAGTTTCGAGCTTCTAGAATACGGAAGAACTGGGGAGGGCATCAGAAGTGAAATGAAGGCGACTCAGTGATGAAGAAGTTAGGTTTGGCAGGCAGGGTTTAAGCGCGGCTGTGCATTGAGTGGAGGCTCTCATTCGGGTTTTTGAGCGGGCATTTGGGTCGGATGTTCCCTCGTTTTTTTTTTTTGGGTGACTTTTTGGTTTTTTAAATATTTTTTGGGATTTTTAAACCCATTTTAATTAGTTAATTATTATTAAGTATTATATTTTAAAGGTTAATTACACCACTATTATTAAGTAGCATATTTTAAAGGTTAAATACACCACTATGTTTGATTATTTAATTTATAACTTTTGAAATCAAAATGCAATCAAAGTATTTTTGAAAGATTAGTTCTAAATTTTAATTTTTTTCAGTCTTCTCTGTGTCCATAATTATTAATCAATGTCTCCCGCACAATCCATGAGCATTTTCAAAATTCTGTCTATTTTAAGTAGGTAGTGGATATTATTTAACAAAACACATGTACGAGTATGATGTATCTGGTAAAAAATATTGATATAAAAAGACCAAAAAGAAAAACACAAGAATATATGCATCAAAGTTAAATTCAGGTAAATAGTTACTCTGAAATTATTTAAGTTTTTTTAAATTATTGCCCAACAATTTGCGAATCTATCCTAAAAAGAACCAAGAGCACAAATCAAATAAAACTAAATTAACAGGAACATTCTCTCTCACATACACGTTTTTTTGGGGTAAGACACATACACATATTTTCACACACGCTCATATAAAATGCCGGAGAATATTCACACACGTATAGATATATCAATATTAATTTGGCCAGAAAATGTATATACTCTTTCTGACGTAAGACCTAATTGTGAATTGTGAGGCAATCTATCCCACGTAAAAATCTATCTATCTACTTTAACTATAAAATCTTGTAATACCCGATGATGTAGAAATGGGTTAGGTTAGGCAATTACATGGCCGTCCAATTAATACTTAATACTATGAAACCCATAGTAGACAATATTAAGAAAAAAAACACAAATGGAGTTTCACAAACAAATTATTTACAGAATTTCTTAACATTATAGGGAGAATAACATTATAGGCAGTTTTACTGAAAATTTTTATGTAAAATCAGTATTTTCGTAAAACTGTCAACATTATTAGATACTTAAATCTTTTATTTTACTGTCCAATTCATATGCAAGAAAAATCATATTTCCAAAAATAAATAACAAAAGATGAATTTTCTTTACAGTAGAAGGGGGAAGAATACAATAAAACATTTCTCGGCAGTTTAATATGTGCCATCCTATGCATGGTACCGGGGAGAAGGATGCAGTCTTGCACATAATTTCGTCTGTGACATTTCCATTACTATCACCAATGACCAAATATGGGAATGTAAGATTGTTGGGGCCTAAAAGAATATTTCCCATCTTGTCGTTAAACAGCCATGTTGTTGCCCGAATCTGTGCAGTCCAAAGTTTCGTGTAGAGGCCCAGTCCACATGGTCCGCAGTCCTGTGTTTTATTAAACATTTTATAGACCGAGGAAGTTTGCGGAAGAAGTCTGAGACAAATGGGCTGAGCTACAAAAGGCCGGTGGGTCGGGTCTGCAATTGGTTGACGAGCTTGCCATCGGGGGATTCGCGCGAAGTCCGGGCCCGAGTAGCAGGCGTTGAGCGCTCCCACGTCGCACGATCACAACAAAACTGAAATCGAAGCCAAGGAAAATGGAATTCATGTGCTCTCGCACTCGATGTTTGAAGCAACACTCATAACACTCAAAGCCGAAGGCTCTCACTTTCGATCCACATTTGCATTCTGCGATGGAAGACGCATACGCCAGATCTATTTCTGAGGTACGCTTCGTCTGCACCATGTATGCTTGGATGCTGCGGGAGATTAAAAGGAAAACATTCTAGTCAGAAATTGTTTCACCATCTTAACTCAGCACTATTTCTTTATTCATTTCTTTCATTTAAGTCCTTAGCTTCCTTTTCAAAATCCTGATGCAAGAATTCTCCCTTTCCAATTCGCTCTCCTTGTGTATTTCCTGTGAACCTTCTGAGGTCCAGCTGCTTTTTCGAATCACTTGTTCATATGGCTATAAACTCAGATGCGCTCCTCTGATACTTCCGACATGGAACCACTATTGAGATGCTTACTGGCATACAGATGGTAGGATTCTTATCAAGTCACACACAATTAAAATAAGGGACAGCCAACATTGATCTTGTGTAAATTTATTCTCAGAAAGGTGCTAACGACTTTCTGCGAGTTTCATTTTCACGCTTCAAAAAAATACACGTGACAAACCTCAGCATAACTGCCCGAAGCGTTCACAATCTGCGTCTATGATGCAACTGATACCGTTTCATTAGAACTGAAGTCGTTGGAACATTAATTACTACCTGCACATTCTTTTCCTTAGACTGTGTAATGAATTCTCATACTATTCTCTTTTTATTTCTTGTTTAAATCCTATTTAGGTTCTCGATTTCTTTGGGGTGGATCCAACAAAAGGTCTTTCTGATAGTCAGGTACTTGGATGTTCTTTTTCGGTGCTTTTTTTTTTTTGGTGTGTTTTTTGGGTCCATGCAGAAATAAGAGGTCTATCCATGTAAGCGCTACTTTAAGTTCACCTTTAACAATGAAAACTGTGATAGCCTACTTGCTTTCAAGCCCAATTTGTTGACAATTCTTAAAAACGGCAATACATCCTTTCATTTTGCAGGTGGCACAACATGCTAGACTTTATGGTACAAACGGTATGTCTTTTCCTGCAGGGGCATGTACTTGTATCTGATTTTTCTGTTAACCTTTACTCATGGAAAAGTGAAATGAAGGAATGCAGTTTGTCCTGAAACAAATTTACATTTCTGTTTCATGTAATTAGCGGCTTCTCATTCTTTATGTTGATGGTACACTCGATAGTAATCACTCTTAAAGTGATTTCATGGGAATTCACCTTCTGACTTCTTATTTTCATGCTTTTATCAATTAATTTTTTCATTTGGTGCTGTTTTATTTGCTTTCTGACTTCCCCCGCCTTTTCTGTTGCATGTCCTCCATTTTCTCCATAGTGCTGCCGGCAGAAAGAAGTAAGTGTATCGAACTTGGACTTCCTTTTTCAAAATTCTCTTCTTTTCATAATATTTCACCTCCTTATATTTGTTTAATTCACTGGCACTCAAACTGAAAAGTTCCTCTCTTTTTAAGGCACATTTGATTTGTTTCTATCAATTTCTCAAGTTTATCTTAATTCCTTTTGTGATCATTTTGGGACAATTCTTTGACCTTGGCAAGTTTTATCTTATTCTTATTCTTCTCAGTCATTTTAGACAAATAGGTTGTTTTATGTATTAGAATAGAATGAATGGTAATCAATTTGGGGATTGTGCAGAAAGTCCATTTGTGCATGTGGTGTGGACTTTTAAGTTCGTCTGTTACTCTGGCCAAAAACAAAAAAGTCCATCTGTTTTATCATTACTAATTGAGGTTTTATGGTTTTGGCTCAAATTTGTTTTTTTCTTTTAATTTTTATGCCAACCTTTACTATGCTGTTATATGCTCTGTTTAAAGTATCTAGATTTGGTGTAATGAGCCGATTCTTTTGAAATTTCTATGCAGGGGCTCCTTTTTGGAAATTGGTCTTGAAACAATTTGATGATTTGCTTGTGAAGATATTAATAGCAGCTGCACTTATCTCTTTCATTCTGGCTTTAATCAATGGAGAAACGGGCTTAATGGCATTTCTGGAGCCCTCTGTAAGAGACACACTCACACACGCACACTCTCAGTTTTGTTTGTTGTTTGAATAATGAAATTTTTCATGGATCACTAGTTCAGACTGCTGAGTGAAGACAATTGATGATCAAGAATAAACTTTAGATATTAAAGATTTAATTTATGAATTTCAATGGTTAACTAGGGATTCTATCCAGTTTGGATAAGGTTTCCTATCCTGGCTTATTTTTTTGTTATTTTCTGATTCTCGTTGAATATGTGTGCTGAGGGTTACTATATTGTGTATTGTTTTGGTTATTTTCTAATTCTGTCCAGTTTTGGTCTTGTTCAAGTTGAGCTGTTACTGTTGTAATGTGCCAGTGAAATAATGCAAATTAATGGTTATTTAGTAAATGTGCTCAATGTTACTGTATGAAACTGTCAGTTTTGCCTATTCAGTCAGGCTTATCAAACGTGTAATCCTCTTGTCTTAATTTAAAAATATGTGCAGGTTATTCTAATGATATTGGCTGCAAATGCAGCAGTTGGGGTGATTACTGAAACAAATGCTGAAAAAGCTCTTGAGGTAAATCTCAAAATACAATTTTGAGCTTGCATCATTCTTTTGGAAAATGTTTTATGTAATATGTTTTTACTGTTTTTGGACAACCTTTTTCCTCCTAAATTAACTCATTTGGCTTCCCAGTTATTTATATTTTTCAATTTTCGACCTTAGTTTCAAATGAATTCATTGCTTGTATCTGTTTTCAACAAGATTTGCCCGATTAAAGTGCATTTCTGGAAAGTTCAAAATTCTCAGACTCTCTTTCTATTTTGGGATTCCCTTATATTGATCTATTGAAGTTTGCCTCACATTGATATATTTTTTTTCTTTGCTATAATTTAGGAGCTACGGGCCTATCAAGCTGATGTTGCAACTGTGCTTCGAAATGGTAATTTGAAGCATTTCTAGTAATACTTCCTATGCTCTATTGACTATTGTTCTCTTGAGCTTTTTGAATTTTAAGACGTCTGATGCAATGAGTGTGGTTATTTCCTTACTTTATCAGCAGTCACGATCTTGAAGTTCCTTTCATCTTTTTTTTTTTTTTTTTTTTGGGTCATGCACATTGGTTATAGTTTCTTAGTTCTCTGCTTTGTCTTTGCTGCATAAAGGAATATTGTTTACTTTCTTTACCCCCCCCCCCTTTTATGAAGGGTTCAAGGGGTTACAATTAAGCAGAAATGGGAGATGAGATCACTTTGTATGATTGTTCTGATTAATTACATATTCCTCCTGGAGCCTAACTCACCGA